ATATCCACTACACCATGAAAAAAAAACGGTCAACCGGCAGGTGCTTGAATATGCTATATGCTACATGCTAGTGGAGACCATCTAGACGCTTGGTAGTCCTGTTGGTGAGTTAGAAAGCTGTATTCTACGTTTGTACGGGCTGGCGGATATTGGTCTATACTCCCTCAGGCAAGATCCCGCAGATGTTGCTTGATTCAACCCCCCCACTCTAGCCTTTGGATGCCGGCATATGCCATACCTACATGCATGGCTAAGATGTCTAAATACCCGATCCCCACAGTATCCGCGCCATGTCTGAAACATGCAGTCTCAGCAAATTCAGTCATGAGGTTATCACCAAGTTGATGTCGTTGAGCGGGAACCATGCGATTGGGGGTGAGCGCCCATCTCAACTTGAGCGTGTGGAGCCTGGACCGAGTTGCAAGGGTTTTTTTTCTTTAGGTGTCTTATATGTATGTATGAACGGCCTAGCCTGTGAACTTTCTTATTCCTTCTACGTACGGAAGAATCCGCCATAAGGCTTGTGATTGTCGGGCAGCTGCATGGGCTTCTGAGTCTAAGACCTCGTAGTCCGGAGCATTTTTTTACGTTTAACCATTCTCTCGGTAGCTCTCCGTTTGGTTATGTTATGTAGAAAGTCCTAGTAGATCTAGATCGTGGGGGGTTGGTTTCAAACCCGGCACGCGTCGTGCCGTAGGAACGAATGATGATGGTCATGAATGAGAGAGAGTTTGCTAACTGATCTGATATCTTATACTTAGGTAGAGAGGCACAACCAAATGATTGGTAGAAAAGGTAAACTACATGTCGATTTTGGCTCACCTCCACTTATCACGGCTCGCCAGGAAGGATTCCGTGCAATGGTCCGCGCTGTGGTGTGCATATGTATGAGGCATGTTGTTTGCCAATCCAAGACTCAAAGTGTTATGGCCATTAATTCCGAGGTGGTCCGGAAAGACAGCTTATCTATAGATGGTACGTAGTCCAGTTCCGTTTGTGTGATCGTCACGACTCCCGAAATATCTTGCTTGTAGGGCTGGGAAAGTCAGTTTCACACGACGAAAATCAGTCAACGCCGTGGGGCGACCCAATGGTATCGACTTATTCCGATCCACACATGTCCTATGTGCATACAACTTGGCAAGCTGTTTGAATTTTCGGGTCATAGATCTCTGGTTGCGCGACGGGGTGTCGGCTGTTTTTCCATGCCATCGTGGTGCCAGTGTTAGTGTGCGACGTCATGTCTACTCTATTTAAGCATTAATGCATAGCAATGCTATGGTAGGGCGTGCTGCTGTGTTCCCCGAAATACTCGGCTATCTGCTGGAAGGACTACCTAGATCATGACCCAGGTAGGTGGATGAATCTTTTGGAGATATGAATAATGATGCATATATAGTGTACGCCTGTTCGTAGTTGAGGCTTACTCAGGCTCCTAGTCAAGCAAACATTATCATGTTTTACTAAGAAGCCCAGACCGCATCCAAGAGGAATTGCTCCGAGGTATGATTTTATGGATTTTATGTATTCAACATCCCGAGGCTTGAGCAGGGAGGACCCTGCCAAGTTTGCCTCGTTTTGGTTGTACTGGGTTCTAACCTTTGGCTGTCTCGGGTAGGTCCTGCGTCTTTAAAGAGTCTAGAACAAATTCATAGGGATATCAGCGTCCAAATGTCGTTTGCTTGCTATGTACATAGCAATGGATCCTAGTCGCGGTGTAAGCAATGTAGCTGCAGCATGGTCCAATTGTTAGACATTAGATATCTCATAGGCTACTGAGTCCTTAGATGTTAGCTCCGGGGAATGAAGATTCACATCTTTACCCAAAAGTGATGGATCTTAGGTAGAGAGTAACCTCGTGGGGGGGAGGAATTATGAAAGTGGGATTTGGCAGGGGGGTTAAGAATCGGGCTTTGGTAGCATAAGAGTGCAATTTTGTAGTATCCCAAGTGGGACAGTTCTCGCGGCCCAGCTCGTCACTGTCGTAACGTACAAGATTAAGGGCTTGAAGAATCGACGCAGAATGACAGAAACGGCAACTATTTCGCAAGCGCAGACCGACTCTTCAAATTCTTCCTGTTCCTTGGCTATTATTGCAGTAGACTCCTGTATCCCTAGGTTTCTAGCATATTTGAGGCTTAAGGCGACTACGCTATAGGAGACCCGTGATCTTGTAGAAAGGGAGGGGGCCTTGATTTGGCGTTAAGTTCAGTTTTCCCCTCCTTTTCTATGTAGACTATGTATGTGCATCTCAGGATAGTTTCGGCGATAGGATATCATATTGACCTTCACTCTTGAGTTAGGTCGAGTTTATGGTCCGAGCGTTGACAGGCTGACAGGTTCGAGACCAGCGGGTTGATCTTCTATGCCTATTACTTGATAAGTAAGGTCGGGAGTTGTCCAGCACGTGGAAGAATTTCCCCACGAGAGATGGTATGCTTTCCTATTATACTTTACCATCTTTGGGTTAACTTAAGCATAGACTAGCCTTTTTACCTTGTCGTATTCTACGTCGATTATGTAGGGCTTGTAATGGACCTACTTAGTCCACCTATCAGAAGTGACGCTCTTATGTTGTGTCGAGATTGAGGGGTAGAGACGACGCACGATAAGTTCATCTCATGGGTTCGAGCTGAACTAAGTAAGCTAAAGACATATCTAAGGAACACTACTGCGTGAAATTTCGCGAGAACAACACTATTCCTGCGGACGCACGTCGGTGGCAAGGAGAATTAGTTGCAGGTCTCTGGTCACTCTACTGCGCAAGACTGATGAGGATTAACAGGTACCTAATGTATCGATTACTACGAATCCTGCGCCTCTATCATTCCCTCTAGCCCAACTGCATGTGTCTAAAATGGGGCCAAATCAGATTCGTTTTAGTTCTTTAGTGCTCACGAGGGACGAGGCGCAAAGGTCAGCTACGATGATGTATGTGGCTGATAACTAGCTGAGTCCATTCATGCTTTTATATCTCTCCTATTGTAGGGTATAAGTGTAATAGATAATATAGCTAAGTCTTAAAGATGGAATCGAGCAGTGAGATGATAGAGATCGAACCACGTTGCGTCAGAATATTAGTATGCTGTTTGATGACCAATGGCTAAGCATCTCGGTAGTTTACTACGAATCACGGATCTGGGTTGAAGCCTTTGCCCCTGTTGATCCTGAAGCCTCCAAGCCATAGGTTCATCATGACATTATGAGCTTAACCTGTTCCTAACCCGTTCCTGGTGCGACTAATCAAGATGTACGGCATCATGCTGGACTTAGATCGGTGGCCCAATTATACATAGGTGATCCTCATTCCTTGTCTTAGATATCTAGTGAGCATAGTATAGGTAACTAGTATGTTGATGGTCTCGTCACATTGATTTATGAGATGTTCATGAATCGAGTTAATAGTAAAATACTTAGACATGCGATGCATCTTTCGAGATCGTCGGCTTGGGTTGGGCCGAAGGCATTGACTTTGTCGCATTTACATTGAAGAGGTCATGGCGAGTCTGCGTTGTTGACTTGCATGAAATGACCAAGCAACATACACACCAGAGCGATAGAAATGATGTCAATCCCCCATAAATGAGGCCATAAATGGTTAGATACTCACACTTTAGAATAATGTCTACACTAGTTCCCCGCGGTGTCGTCTCCTTTTTCTAGTGTAGATATTAAGTTTTAATTCTGTACTGTCTAACTGCCCCTCCAACGTCATAAGAGATGGAGATAGAAATAAGGAATACATAGGATGAATGGTCTAGACTAATACCAGCATATCTTTACTAGACTCGGCTTTGCCCGACTGTGGGACCGCATCATCAGCATGGAAGGAGTTAAAAAAAAGATCAGACGAATGGACCAATACAAGCTAGAGTCAACGTGCTGGATCATCAACATCCTGCATAAATCCAACTTGTAGTACTCTTGATAATAGATACTTCCTACAGAATCGGTGCCGAGTACAGGATATGTCATTCGGATATAATTGTATAATGCAAAGAAAAATGTGACATTACTAAATTAGGATGAGGTTGTTTTTATTTTCTTTTTTCAAGTTGATAGCTGATAGATGTAACATGTAGGATAACATGTAGGAAAGATGGTAAACAGATACATCATCTGGTATGTGATGAGATTTGATAAATAAACGACGCTAATAAATCTCGCCGAGTCTGGTGTCTGGTGGAAAGAACCCCGTCTCGAGTCTCTCTCTTCCTTCTCAGTCTGTTTTTTTTTCTTCTTCTTATTAGACTGGAAGCGTCCGTGCTTCGCACCTGTAAGTTTCTTATTGCAGGGGTTAAAAGACCAGCTGCAGTAAATTACAGTTGACCCGTGCGTGATTGGACGAATGGGACCATCTTTTAAGGTAGTCCCCCTGTACTTACTTCCTTGCTTAGAGCCCTGAGGCCATTGCACTTGCTTTCATTTTTGCAGGTATTATCTGCAGGCATTTAGTTGCATTTATTAGTTGCAGTCATAATTGCTGAACCAATCAAAGTTAGAACGACCGGCGCGCATCTAGCAATCGGTTCCTAAACCTTGTAACATAGGAAAGCCCCAAATGTCCTAATCTGTGTTCCCAAAGATACTTCTGCCATCCCAGGCCCCGGTAAACTCTCCTTCATTCACCACTCAACTGCCACGCCATTGTCCAACCGGGCCACACCCAATTGACTTTCGTCGCATTCACGGCTCACAAAGGGGGACGGTATTGGGGGGCGTCGCGACATTTGGGTCTTGGGTCATTGGCAACTGGCGTGCTCGTCAAACACATTACCACTTCACAAATATCCGATCTGTCACGAATACGAATCTCTATACAAGAGAAAATAAGTCAATAAGTCTAGATGATGGTTGGAGCGTGTGTGCGAAGCACCTCCTAAGATCTTATAACACCTAACTTTACGATCAACTCGAAACAATCACCTTTCCGACCTTCAATGCATCCGTTCGTCGTTGTTGGATTTGGCAGGCATAGATCTGCTGCGCAGTAGAGAGAAATGGAGGTGGACCGTCAAGGTTTGCGCCTGCCGTTAAAGACGCGATCGAATCTTAGCCTTTTCAAATCCTCGCAGGCCGACTCTTCCAAGGCTCAGAAATTACCCAAGGCTACTAGAGATTCAAGATTTAGAAAGTCACCACTCAGTGGTCGAAGTGGTAAGGTTGGAGGATCCAAGGTGCGCATACCCGGTATAACTGGTTCGAAACCCTTGGTACCAGCAGGTGAGAGGAGGTCTGGAGGCCACGATGGAAATAAAGCGAAACGAGATACCGACGGCGATAAGTGGAATATAACCCCTGATGGAGGTTCAGCTGGTCGGGAGGGAAGACATTTCACTGTGGCTAACGTGGGTAATGGCGGTAAAATATTTTTAAGGTAAGGTGTAGCTCGAATGTGTAAGCGCGATCATGCTGTACTGATTACGGAAACTGGAATAGGCCTACCATACGACCAGCAAACCAAAGATACCCGCAACCTAACTTCGTATTCCCGGCCACGCCGCCAGGTACCACAGGTTTGGATTCTTTCCTTCAGATAAAAAAGGCATCCGAGGAAAACAGCGAGCTGCTTAGTAGTCAATGGACCCCCACACCTTTATCCGATTCTTCATCGCTTGGGATTGTAAGGAAGAAGACTTATTTCGACTTGAAGGCACCGAAGAACCGAAGTAGTCGGCGTGCTATGTCTGATTCAACAATTCATGCCCCGAGCATAGCACAGGAGGGCGAGGCAGGCGTTTTTAAGGTGATCATATCGAAGCCACAGGATGGGTCGAGATCGAAAACCGCCGAAGATTTAGGTCGGGATCAGGGTTCGCTTCTACAGGTTTCTATTCCCTCGTGGAAGCTAGGCACACCGAGATTTACTCTGAGGGGAACGCCTCTAATTCGAGGCTCGTCTTATGCGCCGACTGAGGATTTTCGTTCGAGCAATGCGTCATTCTTTCGACCATCAGTGCGTGATCTAAATTCGCTCCATCCTGATTCCATAGACAGCATAAGGCAAAGGGCGAGCTCTACGCCTCACATTCACCTACCATCGCCGGGTTTACTTAGTCCTACCACCATTACCGCACCACGATATCCTCACCCTCTAGTTCGGTCGGCGTATCTCTCTACACACTTGGTCATCGAACCTTCCATGTTTGACTCACTTACTTTTAAACCGGCTTGTGATGATCGTTCAATTGTTCGCTATTCGTCTACTACAGGCGCCGTAACGGCTGCTACGCCTCCACGTCTAGTCGCCGAAATTACGTCACCTAGTTTTCTGGACTATGAACTAATATCAGACTTCTTCCTCACATTCCGTGCGTTCATCGAGACGAAGGACCTGCTCCGGATGCTGGTTTCTCGACTTCGATGGGCCGTGTCTCGGGACGATGAGACGGGAATGGTAGTTAGAGTAAGAACTTTTGTTGCTATGAGGCACTGGATCTTAAACTACTTTGTCGATGACTTTGTCGTGGATTATCACCTTCGCGTAATGTTTTGCAACCTCATAAACGACTTTGTCGAAGAACTTTCTCAAGATGAGAAGGGACGGAAAGTCCAGTTGAAGATCCTTGCAGAGCTAAAGAAATGCTGGAGACGTGTATGTACGCAATTCTGGGACGGTCCAGAATTTGACTCGTCATTGGGCCCCGACATTCCTATCGCGCCGGGTGGAATCGCTGGTCATCGAGATCCTAGCTTGGACCCTAGCTTTTGGGAAACCGACTCCGAGGACCCGCCTCAGATATACGATCTTTCTCTTCCGGAGAATGATCCATATTCTGAAAATAGCTTCTATGCAGATGTATCTAAGGCAGGTCATATCGACTCGATTTTACTCGGTGGAGTACGTCCGGATACTCCAGAAGAGGAGCGGCCCACTGAATTACAGAGGAGACAGACCTCACCGATCAGTATTGCAAGTCTCGACGTAGTCTCCTGTTCATTCCCAACCAAGGCATTTCGGATGGCCGACCCAAATTCAAGTTCTACTCTTGCCGCCCACCCTGTTGATCCTAGCTCAATTTATACCAATGCGGATCCTGTTGCCCCTACTCCACGTGCTCTGACAGGAAAGCGTGTTAGGCCTCATACTTCTCATAGGCGCAACAACAGCCTTACGGACTCACTCCGAGAACACGGCTCAGTTACCGAAAAGGTTGTTTACAAGAACGCGGAATTCCTGCTTACTCTGCCATATGCTGGTAGTCTTGTCCGAGGAAATGTCTTGCCTCCCACGCAAGCTTTTGTCGATGTGGATCCTCCGGGCCCATGGGGAACAGCACGCCAAACTACCGTCTTCCAACCTCACCCGACCGAAGGGTCAAAGGTAAAAGGCTCTGGTTCGGCGATGTCGGGCCAGGGAATGAGGAAATTAATTGGCGGTGTTCGGAGAGCGTTAAGTATGAGGGGCCAGGGAGTTTTACCGACTCATGGAAATCTCATCGACATCGTACCTATCGGAGCTCGGGGTGCTACAACCAATAGGATTCCAGGAACAGCAGTTGTACCACAGACACGATCGCCTCGTCCGAATGGCCCTCGTGCGCCTGTGCGTATTGATATCCTGGGCGCTACAATTGCTGAGGACTTCAAGAAAGCTGTGCGGGAGGATGCCATTGTTGTCGAAGAAGTGACCGATGACGGCCACGGCAGCAATACCAATGACCCTATCGAATATTCGCCGGCTCATTTGGACTCTTCATTTGAGCTCAAGCGTACGAGTGATGGTGCAATCACAACAGGAAGCAAGTCTATAGTTATTGTAGATGGAACGTTACCTGGGGACTACCCACCTATGACCGGTGCTTTGACGGCCTGGAACCCTTCTGTTGAAGCCTTTGCAGAGAGCATGATGAGGGCCGGTGGTGCTGATCTGACACCGCCAACTACGCCGCCTGGACATGCAGTACATGGTGGTACTCCGAGGAGGTCTTCCTACCTCCTCGGGCAGCACGCTTTTCAGTCTTCAACTTCTACCAGTCCCCTACCCCCGTTCGTCCCGGATATGGACACACTAGGCCAGGGACGTTCTTCTGAGGAAACCAATACCAATGCCAATGCCAATGCCAACACTCGTGCGTCAGTCAAGTTCGTTGCACAGTCACCTATCAGACCCCCACTGAGCTATGTAAATCGGCATCAGCGCCAACAATCAAGCCGAAGCTATCGATCGAGAGGATCCACTGCTCATCGACGATGGGCATCTTTTCAGAGTGGCATCGCAGCGCAGTCTACAATCAGGAGTTTCGATGCTACCACGTACTCGGAAGGCTCAGTAGCATCTGAAGTTATGCCCCCACCGCTAAGAGTTCTCCGGAGACGACCAGGTGGTGACCTCAGAGGTGTAACTAACGTCCACGACCTGGATGCCCCTCTTCATAGGTCACGGTCTGTAGGCTCATTGACGACTTATTCGGAATCCATCAGGAGTTCTTACCTACGTAGCCCCGTCGGAGACTCGAGCGGATATGTCGATGTTGTTAGTAGCGATTTTTCACAAAAGCGAGGAGAGATATTTTCCTTAGGAGCTATGGCCGAACAATCCGCAAAGCAGCCAGTGTCCCTAATTACTACCCACTCATCGAAACCAATCATGCGACCTCATTCGAAGCCGAAGCCCAAAAGCTCGCGCAAATCCCTGATGATGTGGATGATGATGGAGGAGTCGAGTCGGCACTCCTAAAACTCGAGGGCAAATACGAGAGGAGAATTGCTAAGCTCTCGATGGAACCGTCGAAGTTGCCCCCTGGGAATCTTAAGGAACTTAAAGAACGGTCCCTTGGAACTCCCGAGGTAGAGCACGTCCAAGAAGAGAAACGAAAGCACCGTCAACAACACATCGGCGAGGAAGAAAACGGCATCGTATCACCATTGGAGGAGAATTTTGATATTCCACTCCATGGGCAATCAACACTTTCTCGTGCCTCTGAGGTAGTTTCGTTCCTATCGGAAGATTCGAGAGAGACTTATAACTCAATCCCGCTACTTGATCGTGGGTTAACAGACGATGAACGTAGCAAAACGGCTGCTCGCGAGTGGGCAAATCACTCAATATTAATAGGCCCCGACACGCCGCAAGAAGAAGACGGATCAATACTTGTCTCCTCGCAGCACCCGTCCTACGAGTTTGTACAGAAAACGGAAAGCATTAACAAGATCAAGCCGGGAGCAACTACCCCTGAAGATGTCCCATTCCTAGACGTGGATAGTGATAATGAGTCTGATCTCTCATCTGAAATGTCGGGTGAAATGCCTGATACGGAAGATTACATTTTTGGAGAACCACATTCACCCAAGAGACCTAGTCCTATCAATACCGGAACGTCTCCTGATACGGAGGGCGGAGTTACTTTTACGTCTCGAGACAAGCCCCCGTCCCCTCCCATGACGCTCACACAGGCCTCTCGGGGGTCATTGGATGTAGAGCATGTCCCACAAATTCACGAACATCAGCTATGGGCTCAGAAACCACTACCGCCTACCCCTGATACCACACCTACCACTGCAATGTATCGTCACGGTTCTGAATCGCCCAAGGATCCAACCGGCACCGAAGAGGCGCTTCGTAACGCGCCTAGATTATCTAACGAAGGGAAGCAAAAGAACACAGCACATTTGCCCTTTATCCTCGCCTTCGACTCCGAGATTCTCGCTCAGCAGTTTACCTTGATCGAAAAGGACGCATTGAATGAAGTCGATTGGAGGGAGTTAATTGACATGCGTTGGAAAAACTCTAACAATGACTCACGGTCCTGGGTTGACTTCCTTCGAAACACAGATGCTCATGGTGTTGAAGTTGTTGTTGCGCGGTTTAACATCATGGTCAAGTGGGTAGTCTCGGAGATCGTACTAACTCAAAACGTGGAAGAGCGAGCCCGTTGCATCATCAAGTTTCTCCACATCGCTGTCCATTGTAGGAAGTATCGCAACTTTGCTACAATGAGCCAGATCACTATCGCATTGACATCGAATGAAGTGGCAAGGCTCGCCAGGACTTGGGCTATGGTTCCACCTACTGATCTAAAGACCATGAGAGACTTGGAGACACTGGTTTCGCCAACAAGAAACTTCTACAATATACGAGCAGAGATGGAGGGACCTGGCGATGCTGCCGATATGGGATGCATTCCTTTCGTTGGTATATATATCCACGACTTGCTTTATAACTCGCAACGGCCATCTGAGATTGCTAGCTCGCCGACTACAGCGCCTCTGGTCAATTTTGAGCGCTGCCGCATCGCTGCTTCGGTGGTGAAAACATTACTTCGTCGTCTACTTGAAGCCAGCACTCATTATCAGTTTCAGCCCATCGAAGGTATTACCGAGCGATGTCTCTGGATGAGTGCTCTGAGTGACGAGGACATCAGAAAGCATTCAGAGAGTCTCGAATAGACGAGCCAGTGCTTCTTACACAAAAAACTACTGGCATCAGAGCCCACACGCCGAGACCATCCAACTTATATCTGTATATCACCTATCCATGATCGATATCACCATCGTTTACATGCTCTTTTCATTTAGTGTCAATCATCATAGACGATACTTGGCCTGCATGAGACCACTATTGTATTAGTACGCAGGTTCCGCCACCCTTATTATATAATACTCTACGATATCACGATACGCCCTAGAGGCTTTTGGTCGCTGCATATTAGTGAGGAGGAATAGGTTATAGTACAGGGAGGATGCAGTTTTGCATTTCGTCGTCTGCTTAGTTCTAGGCAAATTTTCCTTATTTCTCTTCTTGGATGTAACATTTTTCTCCCTTTGCACCACATTATTCAAATTTAAAGATAAGTTCGGCGCGAATCATACGGCAGGGGCCACGGAAAGGGCTGCAGTTGGTAGCGGCGAGGAGTAACAGGACAGGATGGGGACATCCATTTTCATCAACAGCAACGGAGTTAGGCGATCCATTCATCTTTTTTTTTTTACTTTTCCATACTACTCATGTTAATGAATAAACCATCCTACTAAGGAGAGGCAGTCAAAAAAGAAGAACAGCAAAGAGTTCACCAGAAAGAAGAGAAGAAGATAGGGGATAGGGAGGATAGGCGGGAGAGTACATATGCATGGCGGAGAAGCATAAATGGGAGTAGGGATGGGGGAGGGGACAGAGAAGGGGAAAGAGAGTAATGTGTTCGCGCTCTTCGATTCCGGCCCAATTATTCAGATACCCCTTTTGACTAGGACTGCATTTTGTTGTCGTTGTCCGTTGTTGGAATTATTCGCAGAAAGGAGAGGAGAGGAGAGGAGGAAAGAAGTAAATATACCACACACCCCGTAGATATATGGTCCCTTATAAATACTATGAGAGGAGATGTTTGAGAGATACCTTTACCTGTTTCATATTGTGTAGATATTTGACATGTGCCGAAGATGTGAAGATATCCGTCTAGTTGTATTTTATTAGCTTAGGGGAGTGTTGATGTATTATACTAACATTCGTCTCTAATATATTACTTTGTGAAAACTGACCTTGGTACTTTACAATATGAGTTCAACATATCATTAGGAGGGTACTTCGTATAATATATCTTAACTTGGACTTCGAAGGTAGATAGGGTCCTCTAAGCGAACCTACTACTCAGTAGAACAGCTCATATAACTCAACCATTGAAGTTAGAAAAGTAAACGAGTCTACTGGCATTTTATATTCTACTAATCACTCGCACTCCTACGTGTATAACTCATTAAATTTGTTCATTTGCAATTCTTTATTTCTTACGGCTAAGCTAGGAGAAAACGGGCGGGATAACGATTAAGTCCACCCCTTTAACTGCACAGGGCATTCCCCCGAGCCCGGGCGGACAACGACAGTCTCTTACGGAAAAAGGCATAAGCTACTTCTACAGAGAAGAGACTTCGTAGACCAGCCCCCGAACCCGGATATCTTTCCCTCATTAGTACGGTCAAGTTGACCCGCGTTTCCCCTGTCCCGTCTGCGGCAGAAAATCAAAATATCGCGATGGTGGTGGTAGTGATGTATGTATGGTGCGGAGGCGATTTACCAGTCCACATCCTCCATGGTTTGAGATCGATGACCGAAACCTCCCTGATGCTGCGCCTGCTCTCCCTGTTCCTGAACCTGTCCCTGAACCTTTGATGCATCGGCAGTGTTTTGGTCCTACCATTGGCTGTCCTTGGCCTCGGTGGTGGTGGCAGCGGCGGCACCCCACTCACCGGCCGGGGGAGCACCAGTGGCGTTGGCCCACTCATCGGTCTGGCCGTCCCAGCCACCAGGTTGGGTAGCGGCGAAACCAGCAGGGGCGGTTTCCCAGTCGGCAGTCGCGGCGCCGAAGGTACCAGTCTCGATGGCAGCGGGGCCAACCTCCTCAGCACCAGGTAGCTTCTCCTCCTCAACCTTCTCCTCGGCCTCAGCCTCAGGGTCACGGTCTGTGAATATGTATGTTAGCTTGTATACTCCAATAGATTAGATTGTTTTCAGGTTGATATAACATACAGAAGTAAAGATCGACCATCACATCCCAGGGGATGTCACGGCTGGCGATGGTACCACGAATGCGGAGGACCTCACGGGCAAGCATCCACCAGACGCAACCAATAGCGTGGCGACCCTTGTTGTTGGTAGGAATGGCAACATCGACGTACTCGGTGGGGGAGTCAGTGTCGCAAAGGGCGATGACGGGGATGTTGACGTAAGAAGCCTCCTTGATAGCTTGGGCGTCGGTGCGGGGATCAGTAACAATGATCAGACGGGGCTCCTTGAAAGATCGAGTGATGTAATTGGTGAAAGAACCAGGGGTGAATCGACCGGCGATGGCAACGGCACCAGTGTGGGCGGCGAACTTGAGGACGGCACGCTGTCCGTAGGGACGGGCAGAGATGACACAAATATCGGCGGGGTTGTCAACAGCAGCGATGATGCGAGCGGCCAGGACGATCTTCTCCCTGAAAAAAAAGAAAATTCAGGTCAGTGAACTGGCCATATTTCGCAAATTGCGCAAAGCAAATGAGATATTATCGTCATACCAGGTCTTGCCAATGTTTAGTACATTGACACCGTCGGCGCGGGTCTTCCATAGGTAAGGTTCCATATGAACCTGCAAGTTCTTGGAACCGAGATGGGACTGAGCAGCTAAAAGCAGCTCGATGTCCTGGGACGTCGCATGCATGGAGGCGGGGAAGTTGGTAGGCGCCATCTTGACTTAAATTGAGCAACTCACAAAATCTGTGGAGGATTACGAAAAAAAAGAAGGGTAATGAGGGTGAGGAAGAAGAGTTGCTTTGCGTTGCGCGATCGTCTTTGTCGAGGTTGTGGGAATTTCCTAGTAGAAAAAAGTTCGCGGTTAGATTTCAGCTGCATCGAATTATGATTTGGTGCGAGAGCTTAGGGTTTGGAGACGCTAACCTCGATTGGGGTAAGCTGATTGGTTAAACTCATGGGTTACGTATTTCATTATCGATAGTATTATGACCAAACTTAAACAGCTCAGACCACCTCCAATTCGAGAGCATGGTACTACTTTTCTAACGGTAAAAGTGTTTATCCATTCCGTAACATCTTCAACGTCGGAAGGGTCAAATTCCCAATCCCGTCTTGCAGGTCTGAGAATAAAGGATCGACAGCTAAAAGTTGAATTCATTCTCAGCAGTTCAATACTTCAATATAACGACGCCATGCCGCCCCGAATACCAGGCGTGCAGCGCCTAGGCACTTTCTCCTGTAAGAATAAAACCTCTTTACTTATGTAACTTACTCTCGACTAATAATTGATTTGCAGTATGTTTACGACCAGCCATAAAACCGCCTACTTCGTCCCTCCTCCCCGTTACACAAACCGCTTCTCTGTCGCAAAAGGAAAAGAGGCGCCTAGCGAAACAGGATCCTTACCGATGGGCTCAGATGCAGCAGCGCAAAGCTGCCCACCTAAAGAGGCGAGAGGAGATCGAAGCTATTAGAGAAGTGCAGCATGGCGATTCTATCCGTGGTCTCGCGACCCCCTTCGTCGAGTCCTTCGACTCTGCCGGCCAAGCCCTACTATCTAAGCCGCCGGTCGACGACGACGGGAACCCGCTGGAGGAACCGCATGAGCTCCCCACCTCGCCCCACATCCTAAACAACCTCATCCACAAGAAGGAGCTGGATGCCGCGATCGATATCGCTTATACTCTAACGCGGCCAATGCCGTCGGATCTCTCTCCTGTTGAATCGGAAGATTACCAGAACCAGGTCGAACGCCACGAGAAAAACCATGCAAGGGCGGTCGAGGCCTTGAACCGTATTACGCACATGGATAACGGTTCCGCGAAGGATAGGTTACATGCCAATGTCCGGCGGTGCGTGGAGACTTTTGGGAGGCATGAAACCGATGTTTTTCTAAGGGCTAAGGCTCTTTCACGAGGGCAGGAGAGGGAAACCCCACCGGTGCGAGGCGGTCCGGACACCGGAAGTAGCGAAGTGCAGATCGCCATCCTGACGGCTAAGATCCGGGCTTTGGCCAACGAATTAGAGAAGGGGAGAGGCTACAAGGATAAAGTAGGTAAGCGAGATCTAAGGTTGATGCTCCATCGACGACAAAAGTTACTGCGATATATGGACAGAAAGGAAAGGGGAAGTGATAGGTGGAATCATATGATCAAGACCCTTGGTCTAAGTCCGGCGACCTGGAAGGAGCAAATCACGACGTAAGACTCCTGGACGTACGCGCTATTTAGAGTGTACCATATAGGTGACCTAGATGCATACTCTGTAATAACAAGTGCTTATGTACAATACAAAAAAACACCAACAGCCATTCGAGACGCGCGAGAGCTCTAACTGTCTGTCCATCAGCCTAGCGCCATTGAGAAGAAAAAGGAAAATAAAAAAGAAAAGAAAAATCCCGTGACAATCACACAGCTTTGAATGCTATTTCCTTGGTATCCCGTCCATTAGTTCTACAATTTCGAAGAGAGCGAGGGGTGGTTGTAAAAAGCGTATGCAAGAAATTAGAATACGCTGATGTAGTTGCCGATCCTCTCCTTCTGATTCTGTGCTATGCACTCAGCGATCCACGTGATGTTGCGGATTTCCTATATCGTAAGTTAGAGGCTAAAACGGGACAGCTGGTTTAAGGTGATGATCTTTAGCCAACTTACCTGCTCTCTAAGTTTCACCCATGCATATACGATGGCATATGTGAATTGTCTCGTAAAGGCGCTCTTGGAAATCTCCATCTCCTTCTGGTAGAACATGTCTTCCAAGCTTCTCTCGTTGCCACCGGCCCCACCGGCCATGTTGCCTGGTCCTGATGGTCCACCGCCCAATCCTGCAGCCTCGAAGAAAGTCTTGTAGTCAGAAACGCCGTCGACTGCCAATCTTACACCCTCAAAATCATCCGACCTCGACAGCATCAGCGTACCCTCGGGATAGAGTCGGCCAAAGCTCGGGTACAACTTCTTACGGTCTGCCTTGCTCAGCTCGGTGCCGAAGGAGTTAAGGGTAATGTTGATGGCTCGCCTGTCGGCCTCGAACTCCAGAATCTCGCTCATAACTTCGGATGTAGGGGTGCCGGTCATATCTGGGTGGGTATTGACGAAATTGTAGAAGTCCTCGAGATAGTTCTTGTACAACGTGTTCCGCACGATTTCGATGTTCAACTCGTCCAAGTCTTGGTGACTCAAGCTACCCTTGAAGTAAGGTGCTAGGGGAGTCTCTATTAACACACTATTGTATAATTCTTCGATGTTGGTTGCCACGCAGAGAACGGGCATCGTCTCGAACCAGCCGAGAGGATGACATCGGTCTAGCAGCTCGCGGGTATCTCGTTCGTGTAGGGTACCGGTGATGAGAAGAGCTACATTGTCGATCATGTAGCCATATGTTAGATAATCTAGGAACTGCGCGAGAGATCCGACAGCGTTTGCGCGGACGTAGCGAAATTCGGAGACGAGCTTGTCGGTTGTTTTGGCGGCGAGACTAGAAGTGGACGGATTGGGAGGGAGAGATGCGAGGAAATCGCCGTAAGCAGGACCGAGTTGCAGCTTGAGATCTGGTCGGAACTATTAGATACATTGCTATTTATTTATACGTAGATATAGGGCGCATACCATCGATGGTCTCGCATTGCGTCAGGTTAGAATAGTTAGCACCAGTTAGAAGGCCATTCCTGTACCCCCGTACAATGCCTTCGATGTAACTATACCAATCACATTAGCTCTTAGCAATATATTATGATGCTTCTCGTAATAACATAAGCTTACCCATTGTTAACGTTAAAAAAGAGACCCTCCATATTGGCGAATATGCTGTTGTTGATCGATGGAAGGATATCCCTTAAGAAAGTTGATGTTCTAGAGCTTGGTTTCTTTACGTTGTTGCATGCGCTGCAACTTAGAATGCTTAAGGATGCGTAATATGGTATAAGGTAATATATTTACTAAGATAATGATAAGACAGTTTTATTGAAATAAAAAAGTATAATGCAATCAACCAATAAGAGATGCAGGGGTCTAAGCTTAAGATTTCGTTTTAACTGGCTCCCACATTCCGTTCCCACTTTTATGCTGTAGCTTTCCATTTTTTTTTTTCTCGACGAAAGTTCGAACAAATTTTTGCACAAGCAATAGCTCCAAGATTTCTCCCAATCATAAAAAAAACCAACCATTGTCGTCGCGAAGAGAGCTCTGCAGGACCACACCCTATATCGATATAATTATCCTGCAATCATGCCTCTCTTCGTTCTCGCAGAGACGCCTGCGGGGTAAGTTTTCGTCTTTTCGATCTTGGTGCGCATGAATATAACTGACGCGATGATAGCTACGGTCTGTTCAAGGCCAAAGACAAGAAGTTACTGTCACGAGACGATGTTCAAAAGCAGCTTTCCAGCGCTGAAGCCATCAACTCAATGTAAGTTTACCATATTAAAGTTGCTACCAATTGGTCAAGAGCGCGTGCTCACCAGTTTTACCTAGGCTATCGCTCAAGAAGATGGTCAAGTTCGAGGATTCGGCTCAAGCCTTAGGTGAATACACTGCTCTCACCGAAGGCAAAGTCACCCCGATGTTACAAAACCTACTCGACGATATCAAGGAAGAACGAAAGGCGTCGCTTGCTGTTGCTGATCCAAAGTTGGGTGCCGCAATTAACATTCTGCCCCAGTTGAATATTACTCCAGTATCTGATTCATCTACCAATGATCTCTTCCGCGCCATCAAAACCTATCTTCCTGAACTTTTCCCCGAGCTAGAGAGCGACTACCTAGGAAACATGGCGCTTGCCCTGTCGCACTCCATTTCTCGCCACAAGCTCAAGTTCTCCCCCGACAAGGTAGACGTTATGATTGTTCAGGCCATCAAGCTTCTCGATGATTTGGATAAGGAGCTGAACAACTATGCCATGCGAGTCAAGGAGTGGTATGGATGGCATTTCCCCGAGTTGGACCGTATTGTGCAAGACAACCTTGCCTATGCTCGCATTATTCTAGTTATGGGAACGCGAGAAAACGCTCCCAATACCGACTTTTCCGAAATCCTCCCCGAGGATATCGAAACTCGCGTCAAGGCAGCCGCAGAAGTTAGTATGGGTACTGAGATTCTCGAATTTGACTTGGAGAACATCAAGCTCCTTGCCGAGCAGGTGATCAGCTTCACCGAGTACCGACAGCAACTCTCCTTGTACCTAACATCGCGTATGAAGGCAATTGCCCCCAACTTGACAGAACTCCTTGGTGAGCTAGTTGGTGCTCGTCTCATCGCGCACACCGGTTCGCTTCTGAAGCTAGCAAAGAGCCCCGGTAGTACTATCCAGATTCTGGGTGCGGAGAAAGCTCTTTTCCGTGCTCTAAAGACTAAGCATGATACTCCCAAATACGGTCTCATTTACCACTCGTCTCTTGTGGGACAGGCTAGTGGAAAAAACAAGGGCAAGATCGCGCGTACACTGTCTGCAAAGGCTGCTTTGTGCCTGCGTGTCGATGCTCTTTCCGAGCTGAGCACCGAGGGTGCTGATGGCGAGGATATCCTGGTGGACGACGAGGAGAGAGCCGACATGGGTATTCGACTCCGCGCGTTACTAGAAGATAAACTACGGAAGCTAGAAGGCAAGCCGTTAGTATCTAAGGGTACCAAGATTGCCCCCAATGGCGCCACGCCATCCAAATTTGAAGTTAAATCAACACGAGGCTATAATGCCGATGCCGATGCCGTTGCTACGTCGGCTAAGAAGACACCCAGCAAGCCCTTAATCCAAGAAGTTGAGGATACCCCAATGGGAGACGCGGAGAGCGAGGATGAATCTGAAGAGGAGGATTCCGATGTGGACATGGACGGCGCCGAAAGTGGTAAGTGTTTTTAGATAACCCCATTGCATTACAAGCGGCGTCGACGTATATTAGCATTAACTAACAAACAAGCAGCCAAGTCAAAACAGAAGACACCAAAGAAAGAAAAGCACTCGGCAAAGAAAGAGAAGAGCAAGAAGGCTACAAATGGAGCTGAGTCTACTCCTACACAACCCGCCAAGCTGTCCGAGGCCGACTATGCCCGACTAGCAGAGGAAGCCGGCATCTCGGTCTCTAAGTTCAAGCGCAAGTACGAGCGTGGTGATGTGAAGACGAATGCCGATGGAACACCCCAAGTTGTCAGCAAGAAAGAGCTGAAGAAGTTAAAGAAGGCCGAAGCCAAGACCGCTGACGCCACACCTTCTAAAGTCGACGCTGAGGCCGACTCCAAGAAGAAGCGAAAGCACTCGGATGATAGTCCAGAGAAGAAGAGCAAGAAGAAGTCGAAGAAGGAGAAGTCCTCGTAGATGTTATTCATACCTCTCTTCGTCTGTACTATATCAGTAAAAGCGCAGTACTTGCAATCATGGACGACGGCGTTCCGGTGGTCATACCAGGGGTTAGTGTTGGAGTTGGTTGGCTTCTTTAGATAGCTAATTAGATCGAAGCTATTAACACAATTTTATTATGCCCGAGTTTACGGAGGTTATACAGTTAAATATTTTGAATATTTTGAATACCATCGAAACCCCTACCCAATACTCGGTAGCCAAAAAAAGGACTCGGTACCCTTACCTTTGATATCCTCACCAACCCAGAGGGAGGATTTGGCACCTAGGAAAAAGGCTCGGCACCCGCACCTCGATACCCTCACCCACGGCTCGGCAGCCAAAAAGAGTATTTAATACCCAAGAGGAAAATTTAAAAGTAAAAAGATACGTATTTTGAGAAAAAGACAAAAGTAGGAACCTGGAAAGATTTCACTTATTTTAGGGATGCATCAAATAAAAATGCCTAAAAACTGGGTACAGACGAACTTCCTATTTCGTAAACAGGTCCCTAAGACAATATCCCTTGTAAACTCGAGCATATCTGGATAATATGTAACCAACGGTCACGTATTTAAAGACCCGTATAAGGTGTTTTGCTATAATGTATCATTTGAGCAGCCATAAGTGGCTTAACCTACTTAAATCTATCTTGTGGGGATTCCGAGTCCCCCCAGACGAGACGATTTGCGGATATGCTCGGTCATTCACTGGTGAGAATCCGGCGAGCTTTTCGACATACATCACCGACGTTTCCCTTGTTAATTCGAGAAGGTTCATAAGATCAACTCTCTCGAAGAGTTGGTATAATTCTTGGACGCATAGAGGTTGGGGTTGGGTAACCGCGGTAGTTCCAGAGCAGGCTCTTAGAAAGGCGGCGATATCGTTTAATGCTACTGGAATGCCGTTGCCAATTTCTAGGAATTCCCAATTCCCGTTGCACAGCAATATGTCCGGGCGTATGATGGCCTCTTGGAGAGACCACATGGACGTGAACCATGCGTTGGGTTCCCAGATATCGTTGGCAGGGGACTGTCGGTTTGGATCGTGCTGAAGAAGTTCCAGGGGCTTGCTGGCATGTGCAGCGGATGTTTCAATCGATGATAATAGCCTGTCCTTCTCTACTCCGGGCGTGGATGAGGCCAATAGGTATTGCAGACTAAGGTACTCCAATGCTCTAGGTAAAGAAGACCAAGACGGCAAATCGACGAGCCAGGCTACGGCCTTAAGGGCCTTGCGAAAGATCAGAGGCGCACTTTTGTTCTCCCAGTCTTGGCGTTTGAGCATTGTAAGGGTAAGCATCTGGCCCTGAGGAACAGTGAACAGATCGATCCAGGCATAACGCCAGGGCAGAGCAGCCAGCATGTCTGGCAGCTTTTCCACATCGAACTTTTCGTTACGGGGGATTTCCCATGGGACGCCGGGTAGATCAAACCTAGGAGCTGACGTATCTTGCCAACGATACCCGGAGTAGCTTATAGCAACGTACTCTGGGAAAGACCCCTCGGTGCTGATAATCTCTTCAACAGTCCGGGTTTCTTTCCGTTGGCAATCCCAGAGATAGTAGGGCGTTTCGAGATCGAAAGTTATGTCGACTACAAGAGAGGCGCCGTGGAGTGGCTTACTCGGAGTCAACAAGGTGTTCCTCGACGGTGGTATTGATTTCCAATACAATGATGATATCTTTTCGCATGCCGCGTAACACATTGCCATTCGACGAAGGCCGGCGAGCTCCGAAGGTTTGCAATGTTTGCGACCAAAGCGTCTACGGATCTCATAGTCCCTCAGTTTAGCCATAATACTATGATAGGTAGTGATATTAAGACTTTTAGCTCTTTTCGTCTCTTGGTCGACATCTCGATCTGATTGAGGCGATTCCAACCATTCGAGTAGAACTTCAAAAGAGCTTCGTTGAGAATAAGATAATTTCGATATAAACTCTTTCCTCTTTCTATGGTCCTTTAGAATGGTCGACGAGAACCCAGCGGCACGAAGGCTCACAGAATCAGCCATTGTGAGCTAGCACCTCGAAACTAGCAAATCGTGAAAGCCAAGCGGTATTTACTCAGGAATGGAAACTAGTTACTACTACTCCCTTAAAAGGCTGCCGAGTATACATAATTTACTAGGATCTCCAAATATCATATGTAAGCCACTGACCAGGGTATACTGCATAGCCCCTATAAACATGAAATTGATTGGATGGGGGCCACGATTTACAGTATAGAAGGAGGCTGTGATCAGTAAATATTTAGCACGTGTTAAACAGAATAGGGCTCTACGAGAGGGAGCTGAAATATCCTTGACCTATGATGTATTTACAAGGCAGACAGACTTGCTAGGCCATTTTCTAGCTTCAACCTCTTTTTAGGTCTTTTAGGAACCGATCCTTCCTTGAAGCTATCAAACTCGTACGCCCAAATCAGCACTTTATGGACGGCCTACGAGCACAGGCACAGCATAGATTCCTACAAGAGCAGAAATTTAAGGAGAATGCTGCTCTTTACGGTGTCGATATACCTTTAATAACGGTCGCTAAATTCGAGACCGAGACGACGTTTTCTGATGTCAAGATCCCCTGGATCCAGTCTAAACGCTTTCTTGATCGAGTAAACCAACCAGTTGAGAATCCCAATAAGGAGTCGCCCACGGCAACTCTGAAGCTTGTGAAATTTGATCGCGAGATTGATGGAACCTTGTTGATTAACCGGCAACTCTTCATGGAGGTATTTCAAGACTTCGGGTTCGATCCGTATTGGCTGCATATGCTCCTCTGTTCAGTATATGGATTTTTCCAACTTCGCGGCGAGGGTAGGAGCTCGTGTAATTACTACCTCAACACCGTATCTTATACGCTTCTTTGGCTGCACAACCCTTATGAAATATCTACGAAGGTAATTATCATACCGCGGGAAGCTGACGGGATCGATGACCGCGACTCGATATTCAGCAATTTCCTACAGTCCATGTACTATCACAGGAGTCTGATCGACGACTGCAATTTCTGCTCTTTCCTCTCTACTATACAGCTCGTCCAATGGATTGAAAAATCGGTCAGCGAGAACCTCGGGTTAATCCGCTCTACTGAGATAAGAACGGAGCATGGGACGTGGCTAGACCAAGGAAAAGCGATTTCCCCTCCAGGAACGGATGAACTGGTGGAGAAGTCGAAAGAGATGGGGTTAAGCCTTGCCGCGCTGGCAAACGTTGTTCGACATGTTTCGCTGGCGGAGACGATATTTGCAACTTGCCTTCACAAGAGCAGCCTTTACACAACCATAGGGGCCCGGTATTCCACACAATATGTCCTCCGGTTAGTGCAGACCAGATTGCAAACGCTGTAGGATTGTTGAAAGGCCAAGTCGAATCCAGCAAACTCCAGGCAAACTACCTCCAAGAGCGAGCTAGAACACAACATTCCGTCGTACGTACCTCGCTCAACCCATCCCGTGTCCACTATCAAGCTACCTTAGGTACCCAATCTAACTAAAGAACCCCAGATCTTCAACCTGCTCACCCGCCACGACGCCGAAAGCAGCAAAAACATAGCGCAAGCGGCAAAGCACGACAGCTACTCGATGAAGACGATAGCCATCATGACCATGGTGTTCCTCCCGCCGACCTTCTTCGCAACGCTCTTCGCGATGCCCATGCTCCAGTGGCAGGACAGCTCGGTCGTGAAGCCGAGTTTCTGGGTCTATTGGGTTTTCGCGGGGCCTAGTACCGTGCTGGTGCTCTTGGTTTGGTACTTTACTTCGAAGGAGAAGGAGAAGGGGGAGATTGTTCGGCCTGGGAGTGATGGGGGGAGTGTGGAGAGCGGAGAGAGGGGGGTGGTGAGGGGAGGAAATTTGAGGATTTGGATGGGCTTTTTAGGCGTGAGGATGGGGTTAGATCGAGGTTTAAGTGGCGGTAGGGAGGTAAATAGAACTTGGTTTTGTATAGGTTGATGATTTAATTCGTTGATAAATAATTTATACCGTCTACTTACCCCTTTATCCCTTACCCCTATCTTGTTGTGGTAAGGTAGTTTGATATTGCTATACACCTAGCTGGTATACTAGTTGATACTATTTCACCATGATAGATTTATATAGGTTAATTGCCATTACTACATCCTACCCACCCAAACTCCGAGAAAGCGGCTGCACGAAAATCGAGTCCGGCCAGTCTTCGCTCGACAGCCCCCAGCCAACCCTCAGCTTAGCCAGCCATTCCGAAGCAGCGCAAGCGACAGCCGTAACCTCCCCATCTTCTCCATATTGGACTTGGACGATCCGCTTACAGGCCCGCACATATCTATCCACCTCCCATCTCGGCAGGCGAAGCCATTCGTGGTGCGGATCGCACACGTGCCATTGTCCCGCCGGGGACGACGACGACGACGACGCCTTCAGGTCGGCGAGGCAGCCGTCGCAGAACCCCGTGTTGTAGCAGAACTTGCACGGGTTCATCGCGTTTTCGAATCCCCATCGCCGGCTCTCGCACCCGTCGCATATGTACTGGAAGTCCTGCTGTATCACCAGCTCGTGCGCCTCGAGGAGCGAGCGGGCGGCGAGGTACTGCCTCTCGAGGAATTCTTCGTCTTTTTCTGCCGCTAGTCGGGCTAGCTTGCTAGTCTCGTCGATTAGCAGTTTGATTGATTTTTCTGGGTCGTGTTCTTGGTGGCTGGAGGAGTTGAAGATGCGTAGGATCGCCGTGACCACGGGTTCTCTGGTGATAGATTCCTCGGACTTTAGCAGTGCTGCTATGATATCGGCGTTGATGACGGCTGGTGCTAGTTGCCAGGATGCTGCCGTCGAGTTCGCCTCGTCGCCGGTGTAGAGCATGATATCGGCGAGGATAGAGTATCCTTCCCAGTCGTTGATAGACGTGTTGTCGGAGAGTATCCTGAACGCTGTTCCCATGTCGGACAGGAAGACTTTCCTAGCTTTTTCCTTCTCGTTCCGCGATGTGTAATAAACTGCTAGGTAGCACTTAGCGGCGGACAGACCCGGGTTGATCTGGTATTGCTCGGTCACCAGACGTTCTAGCTCAGCGACGTGTCTTTCGCTTTCTGGCGCTTCCCTCAGCTTTTCGAAATGGTGCCAGCTTAGCACCCGGCTTGCTCTGCGAAATATGCGGACTCGATCCCAGCGCCACGTCAAGTTCTCTCTAACGACAAGGCAGCATTGTTCCCAGAAGCTCGGTGCTAATCTTGCGGCGGACGCGCGATCTTCCCGCGATGGTATGCGGCTAGACCCTTATACAGCAGGAAGTGGGACATGTGATAGTAGTTCCCGTCCGCTTTTGTATCGCTGATGGCTGTCTCCAGGTCCTGTAAGAGGATATCCAAAGAGCCTACCGACTCGCAGTTGCGGATAATATTCCAGAAAAATGACGGATAAGGCTCTTCGTCTACCTCCTCTTCCACGATGAATTCTAGCATGGGCCTGAGCTCGCTTGGATCACATGCTGCAGCTTTGGATAGGATCTGCTGGGCCTCCTTCTTTTTCCCATGTTTAAGGTACTGCCTCATTAAGAGACATTGCGCCTTCGTATCGCTAGGGTCTAGATTGTAGGCGGCCTCGCAGCAGCGTAAAGCGTCGTCTCGTTGTTGGAGGCTGGCATACCATCCTGCGAGACGCATTCGGATATCAATCAAGTCAGATTTTCCAGGCTCCCCCTGGTGTTCCAGTATTTCTTCAGCCTTTTTTATCATAATACAAGCATTAACTACGTCGTCTTGATGATAGTAGCATTCGGCCGAACCTTCGAATGCGGTCCAATTTGCGTCAGGCACCCCAGCCGCCAGTATGAAATAGTCGTGTGCTTTTGTATGATTTCCCATGTTTCTAAACGTCTCTCCTATTCGCTCGCACCATAGTGAGTTACTTTCTGGAGGTCCAAGCACGGTCTCGGCCCATTTCTCAGCCATGTATACTGCTTCCGAGTCTTTGTCGTAGCGCGAAGATCCTGCTGATTCACCGGCGTTCGTATCATTCGATGTTTTGTTATCTTTTCCATCGCTGTCGCTATCGTTCTTAGGTATGCCCTACTTGACATTAATTATATATATAACTTCAATCTCGATATAGAAACTTGACTTACCAAAGAAAGAAACCCGCGTATCCAGCTGAACGCAACAATAGGTGCCCCCTTTCGAGTTTGCAACCAAATATGAGCTATATGTGTCAAAATAGGTGTAAATAGCTTACGGTCAGGATTTTCGTCCGATCTCGCATTAACCAAGAGCTTCTTGTCATTTCTCGATAAGCTACTGATGGCTACTGGGTCTTGTAGCCACTTCCAGAATATTGATGTCTGCTCAGAGCTTCTGAACCATGTCGCTCCCCAGCTATCCCAATGTCTTTCAACTATCTCCACATCGTCGAAGAGGTCATAAATACCCCTTCCAATCTCTCTCTTGTCATTTGGCCCAATGACGTCTAAGCCGGTAGCTTCGTACAAGACTTTAAGATGGTCTGGAAGATAGCGTAGCAAATAGCGACCAATAGGTTGAGTCCTTGAGTCTACTGGCCCACGAAGGAATTCAAACGTCAGTTTTACAATATGGAGATGGGAGTCAACCTCATTGACTTGTATATGACCCTTCGGAGAATTCGAGTTGTCCGAGCCCTGCTGGAAAGAGAATTTATCCAGAGTTGAATAAGTATTGAGATCCCATAGAAACCGTTGAACGGTTGTGCGGTCTACATTGGTGATGGTGATGGTGGCGCTGATTCTTGGTGGATCGTCTGTCATCCGGGGGGTTTCTCGTTGCTTCACTACGCAGTCGGCAATCTCATCATCTTGCAACCTGACTCTGTTATCTGATCCTCTTTTGAGTATCTTTGAGAAGTTTTTGTCGATATACCTATCAAGTCGTTCGATAATGTCTCTCTTAAATCGAAGGAACTAAAGAGATTAAAAGTGTTAGTGTAAAATAAGATAGCTAGACCTGTAGAAGGTCTTTCTAGCTCCTAGCTATCTACTATATGAAGAGCTTGAGAACTTACCAACGCAGCATCTAACTCCTCAATCGTAAGAACCCGTTTCCCGAAGATAACCCACGCGAGTAGTTCGTTTATTTCGTCCACCTGTCTACCTTTCAACTGGGTTTCCAATTTGTTAATATCCTCCTTTAGTCTTGATATCGGATCTAAACTGAACTTGGCTAGGAGCTTCATAAGTTCTGCCTCCGACCCCCCTGACGATACGAGCTCTTTGATATCGCCAAGGGCTTCTTGGATGGTGTAAAAGCTGCAGTCCGGTTGCTCTAAAAGCATCCTATGAATCTCTTTCTTCTGGTGGAGCGTTTTCTGGTCTCGACCTTGAAATAGTTCTGCGGCCTGAAGCTCGTGGTTTAGATACATACGCATCTCTCCCTGGATATGGCCCATAACCTCTATAGTAAATGGTAGGAGCCGGTCTAACTTGATAAATCCAGACTCAAAAAGCTTGGGATGACCGCACAATGAGGATCTTCACCGACCCCGAGTCATTCTCGGGCAGTAATGTATCCTGCAAAGTCCCTATCATTTCCAGCAACCTGTCCACTTCTTTCACAGTGAGATAATCGAGGCCGTCGAAAATAATGAAGTGTGTTGTCTTGCGCATCGGAGAACCGAGTTTTAGGACGTTCCAAAGATCCATGCATTTTGCGTTTTTAAAGAACTTCTCATCCTTTGTAACGTCAGAGCAAGCACTAGATACAATCTTTGCATGTGCACTGTCTTGCTCGACTAGCTGTAGGGCCAGCGACTTCAAGGCAGTCTCTACCGGTTGCTTGTCGTCGTCACTTTTCCCCGTTCGGGCGGGAAAGAAATGATATGCTACTAGGCATTTGTTAGCTGATTCGGTCGAGCTATATTTTGACTGAAGATGGTGAATGATGGCGGAAACAGAAAATGTCTTTCCTGAACCTGGAGGTCCGGTTAAGAAAAGAAGAGGACTTGAGCCGTCGCGAGAGCTATCAGCCCAGTTCATATAACTTTCGATCTCCTTAAACCAGTTCCCACTTCTTGGGTGTGTACTTTTCCATATGTCTTCGTAAGTGGTCTTAGAAGCGTTTTGTTCCTCGTCTGAGATACCGATCTTGGCTTTGATCTTAGAAAGATACTCTCGGGTCATCTTCTCCGATGTCCTTTTCTTCTCTGCATCCGTCAAGATTCCTACATTGGCTTCGATATTCTTCACGCGTCCTCCAGTATCATATGCTCTGGTCAATAGTTCAGCAATACCCCTATCGCTTTTCATGATAAATTCAAGCGCGACGGTATTCTGTGTATTTTGTTGCTGCCGTACGAGGCCTTCGAAGCGCTTGAGACCGTCGACGACCTCTTTATTGTCGAAAAGGACTCGTTTCGTCTTTTTCTTTCAATTTCTTCCACCTGCCGCTGTATTGAACATTTATGCACAGAGCGCAAATGTCTACAAAGCAAATCATAACCTCGTGAACAGATTGGAGTAAGTCTTCATCAATCGTATCGAACTTTTCGATTCTCGCATATATCCTAAATCGCGAGAGAGTCGGGCCTATCTGTGCAAATACGTCTCTGATTTCTTCATGCATGTCACTTATTTCCTTCGGTACATCTAGCAACAGAGATATAGCTTTGAAACAGAGCTCTGCGGGTGGGAATACCTAGAGTAACCTTCAGCATCCGTACCAATATTATAATAAGAATATAATCTAACAATCGAGGCCCCTAGAGCAGCAACTCCTCCTAACAACTTCACGCATGATATTATATCCATGCCTATTTTCTTCGCCTGCGAAGTTCTGTATGTTTCTTGGTCATCATTCTTGAATAATTCATTGAACTCCTCTTGGAGGTTTTCTGGGGACCTAGGAATGTTTGCCAGAAGCTTTTTACCTGTAAGCTCTTGGAAGCGTTTCATTTCATCCTCCCACATCCCCTGAAAATCAAATTGCCTTTTAGACATTTTCAAGACCAAATATGCTGTCCTTTTGAAGGTATAAACAAGTTGTAGAAGATTAGTAGTAGAAGTTAGAATTGGTGGGAGAGGGGGTAACACTCTGAATCAAGTATATGTCAGCCAACTACCTAGCTAGGAATAACTGAATATGATGTGGTATTGCTTGGGGTCTGTTTAGTTGCAACGATCCAACGATCCATGCATGAAACCCATATTAAAACCTAGCTAATAGACGCATGAATATACTGCTAGTTCAATATCCGGCAAAAGAGTGCTGTCTGGGATAATATTGTGATTAGAGCTGATGACGATGTCGTAGACTAGAGTCTACCACCAGCATTTATAGTACAGCCCCGGAGAGGCTATACATAAACTTCGCTGTTATCAGCCATTGCTTTGTTAAGTGCAATTTGAATCACCGGGAAGAGAGGCTCAGTGCTTAGTTTAGTTGCGATAGCCCTATTTTAGGTGATATTATTATTTATTTCGTAATACCTAGTGATTATATTTCAAAAAGCATCGTCGAACCTGTATAAGTTCTAATTGAGAGACGCAAACTAATATAAATCCAGCATCTAAGATATACCTATAGAGTTCCTCCCTTAGAATTCATAAATTTCCACCAAATTTCGGCAAATACCAATGCGTAGTAAGATCTCGAGCTGGTTTGCTTGAAGAAGTAGCATCCTTAAAATCATAAGCGTTCTCCAAGCATTCATTCAACATAGTAACTGCTTCATTAAAGTCCATAACACTCAAACGCTCCAGCTCTGGAGATTGATCTGCTTCATTTACCCAAGTTGCCATATGTCTCGTGGCTTCTGCTAGCGCTCGATCTATAAGAGCTGGTTCCACGGCCGGTGCCGATATTTCTAGGAATCTTTTGAGCCCTACGACGTCGATTTCAGATGGCGTTACGCTAGCTCTATAAGGGGTGAACTTTTTATACGAGTCGCCATTCATGCGTACAAGGGCGTATTTCACCACCCGTACTTCGGTTTTCCCTTCTATCGACAAAAGCAAGACCCAGGCTCCTTCTGAAATACCCATTAAGCTATTCCATTCTAATAGGGGGCGAACCTCAATGCCAGACATGTCTGTTAGAGACGGTGGTCCTGCGGAAAAGGCGGCCAGGCAGCCAGGTGGCTGCCAAAGATACCGTAAAAATTTAGCCGCAAATGTCTCCGCCCTGAGCAGCCCGTGTGCTAAGTAGTATGAGGTATACCAATCGATATTATAGGTTTGGCTTAGTCCAGCTGGTCGGTAGCGACGGATAAACATGTGTTGAACAGGGACCACTTCAGAGGACGGGTGATATGCGGAGGGTGGGTGACCCGGCTGAGGGAGCTCAACCCAGGGCATATCGTTCAACGATAAAGAGAATGCTGTGTTGAAAGTGATATCCATTCTCTGCAATAGGCTCGCTCTATGTATGACAAGCTTATAAAACTCCCTGTTGACCGCACAGCTATTTCGCCCTGGCTCCTGAAAGCAGTACAGGTGCTGTAAGCAAGGTAGCTTACATATTGCATTCATTATTGATACTGCATCCCTTCTTGCTACTCCCGAGCCTTGGATATTGTCGACACAAAGAATGAGAGATCTCGTATTGCTCATATCTCTCGTCTCGAATGCAAACCTAAGAGCCTCTACGGATATGCCCTTAAACCGGACTAGGTCAACATGGGCCTCCCCGGAAAAGGCAATGCCTATAATTTGTCCGGCCGAGGGCGTTCGACCAAACGGTTCTGATAAAGATAAGTATTGTTGTAATAGATCCTTTAAATTAGCTATGCGTCGAAGGATTTCCAGTATCATTTCATCATAGACATTTACGTCTACTGTTCTACTGATTAAAGCTGTGGCGTATTCATTAAAAACATCCCCATCGGGATTGTACATAATAGGCGCCACGTCTTGAAATATCCGGGTGACTTTAAGTTCCGCTCATATTAGTTGACAATCTTCAATGTGATAGGACGTCAGTAGAAACTTACAGTTTACAACTGATGGGTCTATTGGCCCCAGATACTCCAACGTCCGGGTATCTCCGATAGCATCGATGTAGCCGAATTCTGCTGCGAATTCGACGGCGGAAAAGAGGTGGTATGGTGGCCTTGCCGCAAGGTTAGGGCAACATTATACCGCCGCGCAAGTCGTTTAAATTAGTAATGTCAAAGACAACTATGTTACCCCGACGCCAAAATAGGTCGTAACATGAGGCCATAAGCGGTAGTGGCGTAGTCCTTTGCGTATAGAGATCATTTGAACGGTAGTGGCAGGCACCTAGTAGTAAACATTCTACTACGAAAGGGAATTGGTGTTGAGGATTAGCGGACCTATTCAATAAGTTAGTTGATCCTTCAGATAGGAATATTGACACCCACACTCTAAAGCCAACGCGATAGAAGTCTATAGCCATAGCCCGCTCGGTTTCAATATTGATACGATTCGCTGGGTCAGACAATATGGTCTTTATCCAAAATAATGTAGCTGATACTTCTCCGGTAGGCACTTCTAATGCATTTGTATAGGGTTGATATCGGCGGACGCCGGCGAGGGGACGGTAGACATTATCAATCATAGTGACAACCCAGAAATCTAGTGGCCTGTATCTCTCAGTCGATGGGTGGCTGTAAGCCATAGTGAGTGATCTAATGTAGAAAGAGCATAATATGCAGTGTTTTTTAGGACAATATTACTAAATAAGTGTTCTCCTAGAAGGAAAACAGGAGGGTTATTGAACAGTGAACTTGGCACTTGTATATATATATATGTGCCCCTAGGCTTGGATATAACGCTATGCAAAGGTTATTTCATTGCTATCTTATTTACTAAACTCAACCGAAATTTATACTAAATATATTGATATATCAGATAGGAGATACGCTATTAAGATACTAAGCTTTATTTGGTTGTCTGCAATTCTATCGCTCGACCATTTCGCATACTGAGTATAAAATCTAATCTTTCTGAAAACTTATTTGTTGAGACTGAACTTACGCCCTCATTTAGACTTCCGTGATTTGACGAAATTCCTTCAGGTTATCTTTATAGGAGTTTCGCATTGGGACCTTTGCGGCTTATAATAATGAGTCATTCATAATAATTACCCAAAAGCACGTGTCCTACCTCTGATAGTCATAGTTTAGGTAGGATACCTCACGAATCTCGCCTATCTTCATTTTCTATCTTTGTGGCAACTTACATGTACTAATACTATTAATTGACCTGCATAGCAAGCGCTGATTAGTTAAGGTCACTTTATATTATTTCAAGTTCTCGAATTTACAAAATTTCACGCCTCTAGCAACTAACCTGCAGCCTTGACAAGTAATTTAAGACCGTCATCTACGCAATTCTTACCAATGCCAGCCTTTTACGTTACTCTAGTTACTCTCAGTCCCATCATCTAACAAGAGCCTATGACTCAGGGTAAAGTTATAGATATTTACGAATTCTTTTCAATTGGAAGTTTTTGTAACCTTAAACATGCACACCGGAACTGGGTGACTCTTCTTTATATTAAATTTGGGATCAAATTTGTAAAATAAGAAACCTCGTGTGCCTTGACCCTACTATTAACCTAATCAGCTTAAATTTACCTGTGCCATACAAATAGAGTTGTAGAGTTGAAGTAAAAAAATGAGGTTTGTGTACTGTTCAACCTCAGCATGTGAGGAACATGCGTTAACATATAGTGGTCTTGCTCAATTATATCTAGCCTTGCGATGGTTTCTATCTTGCTTCCATTTCGAACGAAGCGAATAGCCTCCCAACAGAGGGCCGAAGCTGCCGGAGGCATAAGAAAAAGATTACTTAAATATAGTTATGCTGTAGATACTCAAAATCTAAGCCTACCTAAGCTCTTTTTAAAATATTGATTGAAAGTATTGATTAAAAGGTATGGTTGGATTGTTGGGGATTCACTGCAACTGGTGTTGTTCCAGTTTACATTAGCACAGCCACAAATAAGAGTGGAAAGGAGAAATAAACCGCCACAGTTATAACTAACGCCACACGACTTGTGAAACCGACTTTGCAAGATTAAGTTAAGGTTGAGATTTCAAGAATACCTTAACAAGTAAAAAAAAATAAAATGTTGAAATTGCCCAACATGACCAAAACCCGATGTTGGCTATTTGCTAAGTTAATTCCTAAATTGATTGCTTAGTTAATTGTCTTGCTCGAGCATTGCCTTTGCACCGTTGCAATGTAAGGCTGTGCTGATTAATTACCTCGTATATTTCGTATACCTAAGAACATACACGTATAGGTCACGGCTTGATTTCCGTCTTTGTCTAAGAGAGATGGCTGTGGTAACATGACTCGTCACCGTCTGCCCACCATGAAGACCATATCACCATTAAAGCATGAAGACCATGAGAAGAGGTGTCCAAGATGCCCCAGCTACTCGGTTAGTTTTCGGCATGGACGAATATCTTCTTTATCCATTTACATTCAGCATTAGTATATACAGTCGCTACCTATAATGATCGATGAGGGGTTGCTTATTATGAACCTTATTAAAAGGGGCTTCACTAAATTTAGGTGTAGTTAAACCAGGCCCCTTCTTATTTTCGGAATTTCTAGCTGACTTGAGAAAACATCCCCGTGGTCTTATTCAACTTCATCTATAATATTAGGTATACATATAGAAGCTAGAAACTTCGAGATCAAAACAAACTGAAACTCCAGTAAGGAGATGCAATCAGATCAAAATGAAACAGCCTCACCATGATAGCTGGAATAGCTATTTTATATCTTTTGGGCATTATTATAGTACGTGCACGTGGATGCTCGGCCACAAGATACCTCATTGCGTCGGAACGATTTCGACTCTTATAGGTAGTGTATATACAAGTGTATGTCATTTGTGGCATGCACAAATAAAGCTGTTTGACTGCTTGGCTGCTTGTGAAAGGTTAATACATATTAATATTAAGTTAAAGTTATTGGACCTTCAAATGCAATATGAATTTTGCTGCGCCCGTGCGAATAAATCGCAATGCGAGAACGAAAAAAAAAGGGTTCCCTGTCCAGCTGAGATTTCGAAGCTCAATGGATCTAAGCCTCATGCACTAAGTCGTATTTGGCATAGCCCGAAGAATATACCGATTATCTATTGGATCTAACGTTTAAACGGACGATGGGTGGGTAATGCATAGGAAACCCCAGTCTCAAACAGTCGGCACCACTATAGCGCCGACCTTCCGCGGTTGAAACCTAAAAAACCGGACGCTAGAGCTAACTTAACCTTGTTGCCGTAGGTACATTATGTACTTGTCCGTGACTCCGTGCCCTTATTTACATACATCGTAACTTCGTACAAATAATTACCTATAATATGTATGTGTGCGGAAGATGCCGGAGGGAGACATGGACCTCTTAAACAACACCACTTAGCAAAGGTATACTGCGGCATTATCACATTGATAAAACCAGAATGCGTATTAAGCTCACATGCTTATCTCCTAAATGTTTTATCCCGCTCGAGTAATGGTAGTGAGTAATAAGCAATGGGGTTAGGAGAAATATCGAGTCCGAGATTCAGGCGAGCAGATGAAGTAGGATTCTTTAGAGCAAACGTTAATCGATTTGAACTTTACTAAATCATCTTAAGCCGCTTTGCCAAGTGGATTGACGGTGGCTGTGCGCGCTAGGATTTAGTCAAGCTCAATTTCCTCCTTTTACACACATGTACGAAGTACATACATGAGCTTAGGGGCTTAAGGGCTTAAGGCTTTAAGCCCCGAGCGAGTCGCTTGTCAAGGATGGACTTCTGATACACGTATTCGACAATCTCGTAGGGGCTAACACACATTCGTTACCAAACAATTATTAGCAAAGAAACAATCTAGTTTGCATTGGTAGACGGCTAACAGTAGAAAGTTGGGACAAGTTTGAACAGCTTTTGCCGTGATCCCGTAGAGCCGACAGGGTACCGATTTAGCAAAGCGTCCTTATTCTCCCGGACTCTTCCATGTACCTTTTCTACCTTTTCTACCTTCTCCATCGCTCATCACTCATCGGTCGAACAAGTACAGCCGTCAAGGTTCTGAGACTACCTAAATGTACTCTGTATCCTATACTTCCCCATCCAATTCCCGAATATGATGTTTCTACGGTGGTAGACCTGAAACCTCAAGTACTTGAGACATAACACAAGACCTAGTGACACTGCTCGGCTGGATCTCCCAAACAAACCATATAGATCCGATGCGTTTATGCAATATACACCGTACACCACGAATGACCGTCTTGGGTCGAGTATTTGGCAAGTCAACATCTGGCGAAGGATTCATAACATCTTGTCCCTTTTCGTCTGTTTGTCGTGTTCGACATCGTCATCACCAACTGTGAGCCAAGAGCCGCCTGTAAATCTATGCGCCTATAAGCAGATAGTATTGGATCTAAGACTTCGAATGGAATTGGCGTCGTCATCACCTTTAAGATGTAGAGGGCTGCAGAAGGCTCTCTTGCAGGACATGATATGTTTTTACTGGTAACTATCATGGCGGTTGATGTTGATATGTAAGTGGATATGATATGTATGTAAGTGCCCAAGTGGTTAACTAAGTAATGTTAGCCTTTACCTAGGGACTTCCATACATTAGGTAGTGTACACTAAGAGAAGTACCTAGCGTACCTAATATACTAGCGTATATAGGTACCTAGGTACTTTATATATAATGGATGTGTGTGTATTCCTGACCTGTGATTCGTTCGGGGCAGTTAGTTTCTCGGTCTTAGGAAGTTGGGGTCCATTGGCCGACTGGCCGATATGTATGGGATATGGGGACAGACCCTTTCGCATCGCTCGCACGGATTACGCGTCCCTTCTCCTCTTTTAATCGACGGTCCCTGTCAACCTTCCGTACGGGGCCAAATACTTGCCAAGTACGTACCAAGCCACATACAAGGGAACTTAAGGATGCCCCTCCTAAAAGAAACTTTCCAAGAACTGACCACCTACATGTAAGGTAACTTGGTAGCTGTCACCCCCAAACCATCTTTTAGACAACCATGTCCCAGGCACCCATATTATCCAAATTTCCCTCCTAATCCGCGTTCCCTGCCATTTCTTCATTTCTTTTCATACCATTTCTATTCTTTGCCCACAGTATATCGAAATACCAACATTTCACATCAACTACTCAATACTCAATACCCAACCAACAATACCCAACAATACCCAATACTTTATTTACGAATCGAAGCCACTATTACCCAGCGAATAAGACATACTTATAATATAGACTTGATAAACGTTTATCTTCGAACCAGACTTAAGTAAATTCGCTTCTCAGCGCTGTTATGTCGGGTTCAAGCCTGTCTTCGTCGAGCCCCACGGGCATGGGCGACCCTCTCGAGCTTTTCGACTTTCACGAGTACGACGCAAACCAATACCAATCTGCTTCGACCTTAACTTCTCCAGGAGCTACCAAAGCCCAATTCACCATAAATTCAGCGACAGTAACAACACCAAGCACCCTGCCAACCACGCAGACATTATCGGGTCCTAGTCACCAGTACGATCAGTACAAGCAACAGACACCTTTTGTTCCCGGAGCCCTCTCCAGTACGATCGCCATCAATAATAGTAGCCAACTCTCCGGTTATGCTATAGACTACATGCCTTCAGAGATCAGCTCACACGAAGACACATTCGACTTCAACACTGTACCGTCGCGAAATATGAGCACCACTGATATGGATCTCGATTTCGAACCCCAGGCCGATGCCTCGTTTTTCTTCTCAGATACGACTATTGACCCTAACGCAATTGGAGGAGAGTCTCAAGCAATGATGTCGCCAACTGTTCCAAGCCAGACGAGCAATGTCGGAAGGATGTATCCTGGTATGCATCAGCAGGCTGCATTAGCAAAGGCGCAAGCACAGCAGAGGCAGCAGCAGCATCTTATCCAACAGAGACAGAATCAACAAGTAAAGCATCATAGACCAAAGCCTCCTTTGCCAAAGACTCCTATGCCTTCGGATCCGATTGTAGAACAGAAGATAACTCAGCTTCTTAATTCCATGAGGTCGAAAGCTGGTGCTAGCCCTGGCGATTCAAGCGATAACTCTACTCTCTCTCCAATTGCCGAGGCCCAAAAAAGAAGAAGATGATATGGATGAAGATGAAAGACTGCTTGCGAGTGAGGAAGGAAAGAAACTTAGCAGCAAAGAAAGGCGTCAATTACGCAACAAAGTTTCGGCTCGGGCCTTTCGGTCAAGAAGAAAAGGTAATATATCTATAATCCGCTCTAGTGTAGTATTTTGCTAATAGTATAACAGAGTACATTACTCAACTCGAAGGCTGAGATTGCCAACAAGGTAACTGAGACGGTGACCTACGTGCTCAAATCGGGCTTTGATCGATGAGAACAAGCGTCTGCAGACCTCAGTCGGATGTTACTTGCATCGCCATCGTTTTCTAATTTCCTAGACAATCTGAGTTCCAACCCTGGTTCAGTCTCTCAACAACAACAGCCACAGCAACAACAACGACAGCAGCAGCCACAACACGAGCAGCGACAGCTTGAGGCTCAAGTTCCTAAAGATGTTAACCCCTTCATTCCGGGTCAACAGAATCATCAGCATCAACAAATAGGGATGGTTATGATGCCCGAGCAAACAATGGACTTTTCTATGCTAAACTCCGACTTCAATTATCTACCTAGAGTTTATGCTGTCTTGGAAACACCGGAGATGCCCATTATTGACACGGAAGCTTTGGCGGGCAAGGGATCGAGTTTTGTAGAATCCTTTTCAGCAGATGCCGAGAAGAGCGGAGCTCCCGTCCTAGAGTCACCCATTGAAGTTCCAGAACTGGCTGAGACTTCTACCGAGCCGGAAGTATCCGATTACTCGGTTGCAGACCTTGATGGAGACATTTATGATGACGATGATATGACTACTTCGTCGTCGAAACCTGTGGAGTTGAATACGGATAATCTCACTGCCGTAGACATCTTCGGCGGTATCGAACCTGAGAAAGCATTCGCCAGGTATGAGCTTATTGACTTTTCAGATGAAGATACTGTCGCCATCATGGCTGCAAGACGGGTGGAGCGTCTCGCGGCTAGCCTTGAGCCTGTCCTGGCTCGGTTAGATATGCTTAGCATTGGATTATAGTTATACCAGTATACCATGTTGTATTTCATTTAAGTGTTTGCGGTATAGTAAGCTCGACTTATATGGCGTTCTGGAAAGTTTACAATAGGTGAAAAGGAGGGGTTCGAGTGGATTAACATCACTTATCATTGCGTGCAATTGAGTTTTACTTTGTTTTATTAAGGTTAGCTTTTAGGAGAGCATGGTTATTGATGAAGCGCTTCGGAAGAGCAGGCGTAGCTTATGAGAAACAAGGGTAGGGGGAGGGAGGGTAATACCTAGGTAGATAGTGTTTTTCGTATCATAATACGAAAAACAAAAATAAAAAATAAGATTAACATAATGAACATCTACGTTTAATATCATATGTGATCTAATCGTTTCAATATATATAATAGCTTTAAGCATGTTTAGATTTACATATTAAAGCGATTGGGTTGCATATGATATTAAAGTGTAGATGTCGATTGGTTTTATAAGTCGGCAATTACATGTAATCACATGGCGATACCCCGGGGGTCAGGGTATGTTGATTTCCAATCTTACTTGAGAGAAAAAAAGAATCCATAACTCGGAAATATTATATTTCTAACCAGATTCTATTTAGAATTGTCATTGTCATCGTATCACAAGTTTCATCGCCGTCCATAAGTACCTCACAATGTAAGTTTCGGTCCCGCGTGTTTACAAGCTGATATTATGAGATTATCTTAAGTCCTTTTTAACTAACTAAACATATTTATATGCAAGATTATCATACATCGGCACATATACTAATATCACGTCACTTTCTTATATATATATCTCATTTTATTATTATTTTATTATTATAAAAAAGAGGCACCAAAAAAACCAACCAAACGAAACGAAACAAAACAAAAGCAGCGGCGGCGAGATAAGGTGTGCCACGGCATACCATACCATACCATACAGGCTTTTACCGATTGGCTCGCACGAATGCTGAGTAAAACGTTTATTATATCCGAAAGGCTGCTTACAAAGAATAGTAAGTAAGGTATGTAAGTAATACATGACATGGAATCCTCCAGCGCCACCCCTCCATCCCCCCCTCCTTCTCTTCCTAAAGCCAAGATCTAGCCTGTTTTTTTTGGGGGGGGTTATTTTTTTTTTTTTCAAAAAAATCATTAACTTGTATGCCGTTGGGGGTTACACTGCTTTACACGCCGAGGAGTAGCATTCGCTGGTCACGTAGCACATGGGAAGTTCCCTCGCTCGCGCAGCTGGGTAAGGCTCGGGTTTGAGGGCAGAGCGTTTTTTTTTTTTCTTTTTTTTTTTTTCCTTGCCGTGCATTTTGCGGTGAGCCGCTGCATCATCATCATCAAAGCCGTTTGTATAAATGGCCTTGTTCCCGGAATGATACCGGGAATTGCGCATGCTGGCTGGTAGATATGACGGCGGCGGCGTCTTCTATAGTCCGGTGCGAGACATCGTGCCGTTCTAGATTACGAGTCAGGAATTCCTTTTTTTTTTTTTTTTTTTTATCTTGCTGACTTGGCGAATAATTGTGTTATCGGTGGTATGTAAATTCAGACCAAACAATAACACATCGTGCATATATACTTACACTTCCTTCTTGTACTACTATAGTAGGGCTCATTCCATGTCGAGGCTAGCTGAGCCGTGAACCAGCTTATGTGGTAAATTATAATTTTTTTATTTTTCCTTTCTTCCTTTTCATTCTAATAGGGGTTATGAATCAAATGTTTTTGAAACATAATCGTCCCACGTCGCCATTTCGGATTTTAGAAATATTAGAAAATTTTATAGATGCGCTGTTCTTTTTTAAAGCCAAATCAACTTGTCAACATGTGTGAGATGGTGTTACCAATAAAGAAGGATTGCCCGACATAGCCCAGTCCTGATTAGTTTAGTTGCGAGATACCTAGCAAGACGATTGATCCGTTCGCTCCATCGATTATAGATCTAGGACCTTTATCTGCTTATGGATGGGATGAATGGATCGATTTCTTCAGCTTTCACCCCCCTCCCCCTCCCCCCCCATTCCCCTTTCCCCCTGGACTACCCGTTAAAAGACATGGTAGTCGGTCCGCCACTTCCGACCTCTCGGGAACCGAAAGAGTGACATCAGCACAATGAGGATCGCGCGAGCGGAGTTATCTTAGTTCGCTATACCGTTATGCCGATGTATACTATCTCCATCGCGAAAGCGATCTGAAGAAAAGAAGAAGAAAAAAAAAATACCAGTAAGCCCCTTTTTTTTTTACTTTTAGTACGAAATGACGGCATTTGATATGCGGCTCACCCCCGCCTCTCATTATTGCCGACGCCCAGCCCGACATCGAATTGTAGCTTTATATACGTGGGATAGTCTCTCTTCCGAGGGTTTACCGCTGGCCCTGTTTCGCTCCTTTATTAGACAAATCCCCTACCCTGGGCATAATATCTCGTAGTCAAGCAAAAAAAAAAAAAGGTAGTAAGAGATGTCGATGCCGAACAGACCCTCAGACGTTTCGTTTACGAGCCCCGTGGTTGGTGCTAGGGATGACCCATCCAGAGAGATGGTCGAGACGAGTTGGTTAAGATACGCAACTGATACGGAAGACTCGGACGGCACGATTCAGGCCCCCCCTCGAGAATACGAAGAGTATGTTGAAGATAGCCGGCATGAAGAGCCGCACCGGAGCGGCCGGGTTCTGGGATCCGAGGATGGATAAGGTCCGGCGAGAGGTGGTCACCAACTGGCTTCGGACATGTTAGTTTAGCCTAGCTTTTGGCGGGAGACTTGAATATTAGGCTTACCATGCTGTCTAGTATTGATGCTCATGACCTTCATCTTAGCGGTGTTGTCTATGTACTGGGGAGTTCTCACGCACATCGACGGGAACCTCCACAAGTTAGTAATTTACGTGGTCGACTTCGACGGGCAGGTGGCGCCGTACGACGACGTGACGCCGCTCGTAGGACCGACAGTAACGGAGGTCGCGCAGCAGGTTATAGACGGTGAGGCGGAAGTTGGGGTACACCATCGTGTCACCCGACGAGTTCGGCTACGATCCGATTGCTGTGCGGCAGGCCGTGTACGACTGGCATTGCTGGGCGGCTATTATCGTCAACCCGAATGCCACCGCCTTGTTACAGGAGGCTGTCGCAACGGGAAACTCGTCCTACGATCCCACGGGTGCTATCCAGTTCATCACTCAGTCCGCGAGACAGGAGACTACCACCATCAATTATATCGTTCCACTGATGAATGCCCTCGCTGCTCAGTTTGCAGCAAGGTTCGGCCCGACGTGGACTCAAAGTGTTATGTCGAATTCCTCGCTCGATAGGGATGTGATTGCTCAAGCACCCGCGGCCCTGAGTCCAGGTGTCACTCCCTTGTCCATCGACTTGCGACCTTTTGGTCCTGCTACCGCTACACCGACGGTCAGCATCGGTCTGATTTACCTCATCATCGTCGCATTCTTCTCCTTTGCCTTTTTCCTACCCATCCACATGGTATGTCTATAAATAACTGTTACTCACCGACCGAATTGTCGCGGGACGAATCGGGCCGGTTCTCGTTACAGCTCCCTCCCGTTAGGTGTACACACCTAGGCTAACAGCACGTCTCTTTAGCAATTCATCATTCCCAAGGGGCACCCTCCACTTCGCTTCTGGCAGCTCATAGTCTGGCGGATTTGCGCGACGATAACGACGTACTTTTTGGTGTCGCTCATATACTCGTTCGTGTCCCTCGCTTTTCAAATCCCTTTTACAAATCCGCCGGCGTCGCCTACCGAGCCGGCGATTAATCCTACGGCGTACGGCCGAGGTTCATTTGCCGTTTATTGGATGGTAAACTTCATCGGGATGTGTGCGCTAGGCCTCGCCTGTGAGAACATGGGTATAATCATCGGTCAGCCTTGGACAGCCGGCTGGCTCATCTTTGTAAGTACCGCCGAAGTTTCCCCCTTTTTTTGCGTTCCACGGATTATCTCGTCCTCAAGTTTGTTGTTGCGCTCGTGGGACGTTGATTCCCACCAGTCAACCTCACAATCTACCTATTATATAACTCCCGAGAATCTACCCGAAGTTTGAGGAGGCGGAAAAGAAAGGAAGAAAGAAAACTTGCTAACTTGCGCGCAGTGGGTCATCACCAACGTGTCAACAGCCTTCTACGCGATCGAGCTAGCACCGGGATTCTTCCGCTGGGGTTACGCCTGGCCCTTGCATCACGTCGTGCAAGCAAGTCGGTCAATTCTGTTTGACCTACACTCGGAGATCGGATTGAACTTCGGGGTGCTGTTTGCGTGGGTCGCCATCAACATTGCGCTGTTCCCTATCTGCTGCTACATCGGACGGTGGAGGCAGGAGAATGGGCAGCGGAACGGCGAGAGGGCCGCCGAGTCGTATACCGTATACGATGCCCGGGCCGAGGGCCAAAAGAAGGTCGTTCCGAAGGAGAAGGGTGCGTTACCGCCGGTCAGGAAGCGGGGGTTTATGAGAGGTGTATAAATTAGGTATCTAATTTAAGGAATATTGGAGAAGCACATAATATTGGGATGGATGGATGTATGTATGGTATGTGTTGCATTTCGAGCATAGCTAGCGGGCGTTGGATAGACAAGAAGCATGAACCAGAATAGAATAGAATTAACATTAATTAAGAATTTTGAAACCTGCGAGAGATCATATAGCCGGTATCTGTGCAGGTGGTTTTTTATATTTATGCTTTAGATTAGGTATTAACATTGAATTAAGCATTTGTTTTTTTCGCAAAATCTACCTCTTAATGAAACGGGGAATGTGACTAATATGTACAGGAAGTACAAAACTGACATGTATTCATTTAGGAGGGTAGGTAGGTGGTCATTTATCCTGTCTGTCCGATTTAAGCCGTTCGACAGCCCCAACGGTGTTCCGTAGCGTAGGCTCTAATGAACGCCCAGATGACTTCACGGGCTGCAGGGCTGGAATAGCGCAAAGTGACAATAGTGTGAAGTTTATCGCTTCGTGTTGCCCTTTTTAGGTTATTATTTGAAAATAAAGTCCATGTTTGGGGTCATGTTTCTGAGATACTAAATGAGTCTAGGTTTAGTTTTTGTTCGTAGCTCTCATATCTCATAGAGGGGGGTGGGTAGCATGGTTATGAGTCCGCGATAACGAGTCCGTGGTAATGGAATGCCCTAGATATAAAAAGTAAAATGAAAGTGCTTTGATATAACTATGTCAAGCATATTCTAATGACTCACGGGTTACGAAGGTATGACTGTATGATGTTAAAGCGATTGATCAAGTCTGATATTTAAGTCAAAAGAGTTGGTATAAGCAGGGCCTATGATCGCAATCTATTAAGCTTCACATCATTTGCTCAGTGTTATGCCAAGAACTATATAGATGACAATACATATGAGCTTTAGTTATATGCACTGAGCCTGGCTTATCCATCGGAGGAAATCATATAAATACTCATTCAAGTTTATAGGAAGACCCGATTGCGACATGATAAGATTGATGTAAGTGTATGAGTATCATTTTCGCAAGTCTTTATAATTTCCATAGCAACCTGATTTCTATGCTTGGCTCTTAGGTATATTAGGTATATTTCCTATGTCGCTAAACGTAAACACCTTATCTCAATTACCACTTTAAATCATGTCGAAGTCCGCCCTAAAGGATAGAAATATCAACTTCTAAGTGAACTAATACCAATAGTAACGAATCGCAATTAAATTACCCTATAAAGCTACCATGCGGGTCTATGAACTAGGTAGGTAATCGGCTATCCTGCGGCTTCGGCCCCTCACACCAGTATAGAAAGGCTTATCGTCTAGTCGGACCACTCCTTCGGCTGCCCCGCAGAGGTATCATAGAAGAGCTCGGTATTATATAGGTTAGGTAGGTTAGGTTAGGTAGTTATTATAAATAATAATCCGTCTCGTATCTTTGAACCAAGAGTAGCCTAATAGTAATTTATAGCTTATATGAGGAAATATTATATTATACACGCCACTCATCTATAACATACATACTACATTAGGTACCTAACCTAGTCTTTAAAGTGATGCAGTCCCAAAAGATAACCTTGCCAGTGGCCAACCCCTGCGTGTCATTCTGGCAGCAGACTACACGTTCGTTCCCCTACTTACACGTCAATCAGAACGAACCAGTTCCAGAAGGGTCTAAATACGCCATTATCGGCTCGGGCATCTCCGGTGCTCTAACTGCCTACGAGTTAATCCAGGGGGGCGTGCCGGCAGGGGATATAGTAATTTTCGAGGCGAGAGAAGCCGCCAGCGGAGCGAGTTCGAGGAATGCAGGACATGTGCGCCCAGGTCAGCTAAATATTATTATCATGGGTCTAACCTAGGTTAGATACATAATATAATTCACATTGCTAAACTACCTACCTACCGTGTATATAGACGCCTTCCGTGGATTCCAAGTCTACAAGCAGCTGCACGGCCGAGACCAAGCGCTCAAGATAATCGCCAACGAGAAGCTCGTCTTCCACCGGATCAAGGACTTCGTAGAGGAGCACGGGGTCCGGTGCGACTTCAACCCGACGACGACGTTTGACGTGTGCATGACGCGGGAGTTTGCCGATTTCAACGCCCGCAGTTTCAAAGAGTATCAAGAGGCCGGAGGCGACGTCTCCCACATCAAGTTCTACGAAGGGGAGGAAGCGCGGAAAGCGACCCGCGTGCAGAAAGCATTTGCTGCTTACGAGTGGCCGGCTGGCTCGAGTCATCCGGCGAAGCTGGCCCAGTGGCTTCTTTCGCAGTCGATAGGCAAGGGTGTCCGGTTGTTTACTCATTGTCCGGTTACTTCAGTAGCCAAGTCAGCCTCTTCGACTGGTGACCAGGTCTCTTGGGACATACTCACACCTCGAGGCACGACGAAAGCCTCTACGGTAGTCCACTGCACAAATGCCTTCGCGCCTCACCTCCTGCCCCAGCTCTCGAAGTTCATCACCCCTAACCGCGCTCAAGCACACGCCTTCGTGCCTCCGCCTTCGCTTAGCTCGTCCAGCATCCTCCCCAGCACCATGTCCCTGCGACACTCGCTCAAGCACTTCTACTCCGTAGCCCAGCGGCGACCGGACGGGATCATAATCCTCGGCTCCCCGATCGCGAACCCGAACATCAGCCCGGCGGCGGCGACCAGCCGTCTAGTCCCCGACGATAGCATCTTCAACGAGGAGGTGCGCGACGACGCCGTCAGCAATTTCGAGACTTGTTTCCCGGACTGCGAGAAAGCGAGGCTGAGCCACGGGGAGGGACTGCTGCATACGTGGACCGGTATCATTGGGATGACGACGGACTCGGTTCCGTTCGTGGGTAAGATAGAGAGTCTGCCGGGACAGTGGGTTTGTGCTGGGTTTAATGGCCACGGTAAGAATAACAGTCAAGTCGCTTTAATTTGATAAATATCTTCATAACTAATATGTGCTCCTATTCAGGTATGGCGAGGATATTCACTTGCGCACCGGGTATCGCAAAGTTGATACTCGGAGGCTCGTGGAATGACACTGGGTTACCCGAGTGCTTCGAAATAACCGAGGAACGTCTGGAAAGGCTTCAAAAGGGAGTCTCCGGGTCCGTATTTTGAGCCAGTGGTACAACTATATCGCCTCAAAAGTATATATATCAAACTATAGACTATTATTTATCTAGCTATGATATTATCTATAAAATTTCCACATTTCCTTTTTGGAAATTATATCAATAAAGGCGACTAGCTAACGTAAAACAAGTGCAATTGGACACTACCTATCTATCTTTTAATATTAACGCAAAATAGCAACAGTTGCAACAACAATCAGTATACACCGACAGTCCAGATAAACAAAATACCCCAGAGCTAAACCAGATCTAGCAGTAAGGTAATGGGTTCGAATCGTAAGACATCGCACGTAAAAACAGCTACCTATTTTAGAGACGGCCAAAAAAAAAGAGCACGTATAGAAAGTAGTCTGGGCCTGATACCATTGGGATCCGACAGGTCGCAAGAAAAAGCGACGTGCGAGTTAGATAAGGCCGTGGCGAGGTGTCAAAATCATCGGTTTCGACGTACAAAAAGAATTGGGAAGTGTCGTATAATTAGGAATATATCTGCACGATACATAGATGTGGGTGCCCCCCCTTTTTGCCACATGGTTAAACATTTTATTATCTAACTACCTAAGAATAATATAGGGGGGGGGGCGAACTTGTATTATCAATTTAAGATTATCTCGGGTACTATTCTATGGTTCTCTATAGTGGCCGCGCAGTATAAGATAGTGAGATATATAGCCAATCTCAACGGTATAATCAACTTGGTATCTCTAACAGCATCCTTTAAACAGCAGACTCATCCTGTTTCCGTATCCGTGGTCCTCTAGCAAACGAGATCTGTCTAAACCGCATAGCCCCATCCCCAACTTCACCTTCACGCTCCGAATCAGTCGTAGTCTCCCTGTCCTTGCCCACATGAGTATAAGCTAGACTCGGCGTGGGCACGTGCTTGGGCAAACCCAGGCCGGACACGGAGCTAGAAGGGATAGGGGTCCGGATTTGAGATCTATTGAGATTGATATCGAAGCTGGACACCCTCATAGGCCCAGTTCCCGACCTAGACCGCACGGCCTGGTTCTTCCCGAGGATCGTGCTGTTAGAGGTACTCCCGGCGCCGCTCCGGCTAAGCACGCTGAAGAAGTCCTGCGCGAAAGTAGTCTCGAGATCGCGAGGACGGCCGTCGGTAGTCCAGTAACGCTCGTCGCTAAGATCGGTGCTAAGATGGCGGCGGAAATACCGGTCCTGGTTAACCCACCACGCACGCCACCCGCCGACGATTAACAGCGTAAGGGGGATCGTGAAAGCCCAATAGATCCAGAAGGAGGGCATGACTATGGGATGCGGCCAGCCCTGAGGCGCGTCCTCCGATATAGCCGGGTCGCCTGCCGTGCCTGTCTCCCAGTTAAACATGGACACGCCGAATAATGTACCGATGTATTCGCCCGGTAGGAAGAGGGCGGTGATCACGGCCAACGCCTTCATCGAAGAGCTGTCCCTTGTCGACGCTACTGCCATACGCGCATTGAGGTTGTTATCCTCCTGCGCCATCTTCGAGTAGATAATATCGATCTGTGCCCGGCAGCGTAGTTCTGACATACGTCGATCTGTCTCGAGTGAAGTGCAGAGCCGCCACGTGCAGTCCAGATACTGTCTGATCTCATGCCAGTGGACGGTAAGTTCGTCATCCATTTCGTCGGCCTCATCTCTCTTAAGTTCCCCTCTTGCCACTGCCTGAACCCTCAATTCCTTTATGCGCATGTCTAGCTCGTCACCAGCTTGGATGATGAGTTTCAACGCACGTTCCATCCACCTCAGCGTGTCGAGTAACTGAATGGCTCCTTTGAGCACATCGTGGGCTTCTTTCATCAAGTGAATTGTCTGCGGCGGCACGTAGTCGGGATCGTAGTAACTAGCTACCTCTGGTGCAGTTGAAGGCGTAACGTTACGAGAGAACTCGTGGCTTCGTCGTGCACCTCCGACCTTGGACTCGACCATCTCCTTAAGATTTGATGAGAAGCGTTTCAAAGGCTTGAAATGCTGCTGCTTCTCTCCTTGGTGATTCCGCCACCAAGCTTCAGCGTTAGCCCGCCCTATTGTGCCCGTCACCGCATCGACGTGCGCCTCAAGCTCCAGCACTTCGGCATTGTTAGCGTTCACCGCCTCCTCAGTGCGAAATAGCTGTACTTGTAAGAGGACGACTGGCAATACGAGCGGGTGAGACCATCGTGCCCTACAAGAATCCAGGCGGCGCTCGTATTCATCCAACGCATCTTCGGCATGCCACCTTGTATCAAAAGACCGCCGTATGAGAGCGGTTGTCGTCCTGGTCTTCAGTCTGTACGCCATTGAGAGGAAGTCGTATGGCGGCTGTGGACTAGAGGAGAAACTTAGGATTAAATCTTGATGTATGTTAGTGCAATTTACGGAGTACACCAAGAAGAAAAAAAGGGTATAGCTTTATCCAGCCATATTAAGTAAGAGTTGTGGTGCTGTTATTCACTTACACATTGTCTCCCTTCTTGAGTCCCAGAACGACGATTCAAGGGTTACCCGTTGCAGGGTAGGCAAGGTGCCAGAATGCAACCCTAAAGATTCATAATCATCCACGGTGAGATGCAACCCATCAACTGTACTATTCGTGTTGTGTTGCTCCTCTTCCTGGCGAGCACGTCGGTGGGCAATTCTATTATAAATTCTAATTAGCCTTTGTCTTTATGAAAAGCTCATGCTCCAAGTAAAATCCGATGATTCGAACTTTGGGACTGGAAAGGGTTTAAAAAAAAAAAAAGAAAAAAGGGAAAGCCACGTATACTCACACTTGTCGCACTCTTCCCTGAAGCAAACTTTTTCCCTTAGGCACAGGAGTGAAATTTCCCTGCGTGTGAACTCCACTCAATCAGCCTACATTCTTTTATTGCTTGGATGACCGCACTCTATGTCCAAGGTACGGGTACGGGTAGCTAGCTCAACTGTCTCTAAAAGATAAGAAATGCAGTATTGTCGTAGCCATATATCATATCTCTCTCACCTCGTAATCTAATCCATGTCCATGTCTAACCGCATCTCGAAACATCCGTAGTGCGACCTCTCCTTCGGACATGATGCTTGGGGAGCGGGTCTCTTCATTTTCTTCACCGGGCCGGAAGACAGCATATTCGTGGTACGAAACGCGAGTCTCTTGGCCTGTTGGTAGGAGAATATCGCGGACGAGTTCGCGGAGGTCGAAGTTGAAGAGGTTTAGTTCATCGAGTCGGGGCCGTTGGTACTGTTTTCCCGGACTGTATGTAGCCGAAGAAAGGGCACCCATTCCGGGAACTAAGCTGCCGCGCCGGGTGCTAGATACCGTGCGGCGGGAACTTTCCTGCCGACTCGGAGGCCCGGCTACGGCGGCAGCTTGATGGCGGGACTCGCTAAGAGCCGTGTCCAGCTCGTCGAGGTTGTAATCTGTATTCATTATCGCTCACCGCAATCAATTGTGTATGGTACGTAATTCATGCCCGCTATTCTCGAAACGCTAGAAAAAAAACGCCAAATAAATCTAGATGTAAATAGAATCGTTAATAAAAGCATAAGACAAATTAGAGCATCTCAAACTATAGCCGTCTTATATAATAGCATAGTTAATTTGAATGACATAAGTTCTTTTGGTAGAGTCCTTCGTCCTTCTAACTGGAGAATGAATGTCACCGCCAAGGGTTTAGGGGGCTGTGTGCAATAAATAGCTGTCACGATGTGGAGTTGCGGTCCATTTTTTCCAGTCATAACCCTGTCGAACAACTAATCAAACGATCTTGTGGACGGTTTCTAGGGTATATATCAAGGCACTTAAGCTCGTACTGAATTTTGTCGGGACATCGTAACGTAGTGCAATAACAATAAAACAACGATGGCTCTTAAGGGAATGAGATCTAAAGCTAAGAAAAAGCCGAGATACAAGTAAGGGGTTAATCGATACCTACCTAATGCTAGCCTTTGAAATACATAGTATAATTAATTGGCTAAGCCACTAAGAGAATAGCGTGGTTAGTTTTCGTCTTGGTAGTTTCTCTTGGAAACAAATTCAATATCTTCAATTAGTAACTTGACGAATCATATTATATATTTTAAATTTTATTATCATCAACTATCAAAATCTACTTGTCCAAATCAAATGGCCATGCTCCGACTTTAATTCCTACCTACGTTCCTACTATGTACATCGCAGCTTAACCCTAACCAACACAACTATCACACTTATACACCTGACTAGCTTGAATTACTCCCATGGCTAGTATTCTAATTTCTAATGCTTATAATATCAAAGACTCTAATTAAAATATATGAATAGTATCGTAATCTCATCTAATAATCTAATATTGGCTATAAATACCAGCAATGCTACACTCAACTCTCGGCCGGTATGACAGTAACATCCACTTGATATCCCTTGAACTGCCTAGCAGGAACTTTCCTATCGAACAAAATATCCAACTCTTCGTATGTTCTCCCTTTCGTTTCGGGAATCCGAAAGTATGACCAAATAAGACAGATAATTCCCAACCCACCAAAGAAATATCCCAATTTACCCTGCATGTTCGCCTCTGCTGGATTAATCATATATGGAATGGCAACCGTCATTGCGATCCCAAACACCGCTTGTATCGCTGTGGCCACCGCAATCGTCTTAGATCGAACACGAGTGGCGGAACACTCTCCTAAAATCACGAAGGTGATAGGTCCGACTGATAGGTCGTATGCACCGTTCCAAACCAACATGAGTGAGCTTTCGGCCCAGGCCACACCCGAAGGTCGGTCAGGGATGCTGTCCAGGATACCAATTATGAACATTAGAACGATAAGAACAGATAATCCGATATTGAATATGCGTCTTCGGCCGAAGCGAGCGATGAGGAACCAGGATAACACAGTGCAAACCCAACCCACACCCAAAAATCCTATGCCCATATAAAATGCAGCCTGAGTCGGCAGTCCTGCCTGCTCAAAGAAATAAGTCCCATAGTTGATCAAGTAGATACCGCTCAGGACCTGCGTAGTATACACGCCGGTAGAGATCTCAGTCCGCCGTAGATTTATTCCTTTTATAGTGTCTAGGTAAGTACTCCCTGCTTCCATCTCTAGCTCGAGTCGATCAGTTTCGGCGATGACAGCCAATGTGGCGTCGACATTTACTTTTGAGGATGATAATCGGCGCAGTGCGTCCCTAGCATCATCCATTCTCCCTTTTCGCACCAGCCACCACGGCGACTCTGGGATGAAGAAGATCCCGGGAATGATGATCAAAACCCAGAACCATTGAAGCGCGAACGGTATACTATATGCCCAATGGTTTTCGATCGAGGCCGTTCCAGCCGTAATCCCATTTCCGAGAAGTTGTCCCGTAACGAAGCAGAGGTTGGTGTAACTGGTCAGGAATCCACGGAGTGCCATGGGACAGACCTCAGAGGCGTAAGTTGGGCCGATAACTACGAAGCATCCAGCACGAGCCCGCCCAGCAGTTCTCCTACAAGTAGAGCTTGCAGGGAGCGCGCGAAGAATTGGATGAAGACGAGACATGCCGTCAGGAGGATGCAACCGAAAAACGTCCACTTGCGGCCGAACAACTCCAAGGGGTAGGCCGAGAACAATGCGCCAACGACTTGTCCGAGGGGATTTCCCAACGATAGACCAGTTTGCCACGCGGCCGAGATGACATACTAACAGGAGAGAATATCTATATTAGTTTTACTTTTCCGTCTCACTCTTGCGGTAGGTAATGGACAATGGATAGAGCCACATACTTTACCATCAAGCTCGAACCCAAAGTCCTTTTGGAATTGGGGCATGGCGAACATATTCCCAACGATCTGAGGATCGAAAGCTAACATAATTACACCTATCGAGACGAACGCCGACCAGCCGACAGCGGTCGGGTATAGTTTCACCGCTTCCCAGAACGACAAGCCATGCTCACGTTGCACGGCTTCAGCCAACGCGACATCGGCGCCGCCCGACTTCGACGGCCCGTCGCTTTGCGCGACCATCGTAGTCGTCTTATCGATGCTTGCTACACGAGGGACATCCATAGGGCTAGAACTGTCCGCAGAGGTATTTGCGAAAGTACCGTAGTGGTGGGATCGCGTGTCCATTTTATCTACATACCAACCTACCTTACCTATGCATTCATTCATGCATCTGCTTTTTCCCTTATCGTTCACCTTCCATCCATGTTACCATACAGATTGCGACCAGCCTCGTTATCCGGAACAGGGCCAAGAATTGCAGGCTGATCCGGTAGAATGCCTCGCCTCATAGGTCGGCTGCGGAAGACTAAAATGAGGGGAAATCAGGGGTCCGGAGGAATGTGGTATGTATGTATGGAAGAAGGTTATAAAGGATCTGCGCATGCAACGTAGCAGGGGTTTACCTTATGTATAATGTATATATGTAGATTAGATATCAAACATGTGTAACTCGCACGACTAAATAAATACCTAACCCATCAGGCCCATATACCTAGTATGTATTCTCACGCCACGAAAGTGAACCAAAATCTAGCCACAAAAGACATGATAATTACCTGTTTTATATCTCTCCGTGGTTATTATACAGATTTGATAAGATTCTAAGAATCGCACGGACGATATTATCGAGATAACTAATCCGTCTAGTAATCTTCAGACGAACGTTCCTAGAATCCCGGACCTCATCAGACGAACGGGCCGCTATGCGTAACAGGCCGTTTATTTTAGATTTGTACTCACCACAACCAAGTACGAGGCTATTGTTAGGCCCGAGAAAGCTGGTTTTTATATTTCTTGAAAGCTCCCTTAAGTAATTTCCTTCGCTCTTAACTTACAGTAGGCGATGCAGCTGTGTAGTATTCGAGGCCTACCCTGGCTACATAGTGGATTGCTTGCAATATTAGTGCCAACGCCTCCCCTGCTTACAGAAGTAATCGCTTCTTTATTGCATTAACTACACCTTAAAACAGTATACGTAATCCTCTTCTAGCTATCGTTTATTCAACGTGGCAGAACTTGAAGCTGCTCTTTGTTATTGTCTATTGTGTCCCATTTGCTAGAATCCCAAATCACTGTGACATCGAAGACAAAGGGTTTTAACCATATGATAGCCCAACGTTAGGTCGTTCCCTGGTTCTTCGTATTTTAGAGTTATATTTACAATTCTTACTCGCATCCTCCGTGTCAATATCTACCACTTCGACAACCCTCAAGTCAACATGGGGTTCAACATCACTTGGCATAGGCTTGCTGCAGCGGCTATCCTCTATTATGGGATCTTATGTATTATTGCTTGTTTACTCACCCTTTGGCTTGATTCTCAGCCCTAGATGAGAATCATTTCGTGCTGGCACGAAATTCACTATGCCGTCTTCCATGCAAGTCTTATATAGACAGTCGCCAGCTTAAAATCTAGTTTAATATCATGGATCTTTACCCATTCTAATAGTATACGTACGTACCTAATGAATAGTCTTATCCAAGGCAGTAATTAATACTTAGTCGTTTATAGAAAAAGCCTCCTTAGATAATTGATTTTGGCAAGTTCTTAATGGTAGTGTCTAGTCGGTCCACTTCAAAATGTTCGCCATAGATGGCGATATTTACTCTCAATTGCACGACATTGCATTAGACGATCCGGTTGGCTGTCGGGGTCAAAATCAAGATACAATAGGAAGGTCTCGCTAGCTCAACACTTGGAGAGTGGGGAAGTATTCGGATCTTTCTTTACATCCGAACGAAGTAATAAGTGTATATAAATGTCGTGACGCTTCCTACTCTAACTTTTTCGTTAGCCGTGGTTTTGTCTCCAGCAGTCAGTAAAGATGAAAAGCATTATTCAATACTTGACCTTAGCCCTTACCGCTCTCGTCTCCGCGGGTCCGGTCATGGAGCGGCGCTCAACCTCACCGTACGTGGGTCCCGAGAACGGAACGCTTGTAATTATAGGGGGTAACGCGCAAGACGACGCGATTTACCAGCGCATCATAGATCTGGCCGGCGGACCAGATGCTCCAATTGTCACAATCCCTACTGCCGATGGGAGTGACACCTACGACGACGATGCCGCTGCGGCGGGCACGTTTCGGAGACTTGGCGCCAAGAATGTCACCGTTCTACATACATACGACCCCAAAGTCGCCGATACGGAAGAGTTCGCGGCTCCGTTGCGAGCTGCTAAAGGTGTATTCTTCGGAGGCGGTCGCCAATGGCGTCTCGTTGACGCGTACGCCGGTACCCTTACGGAACGCCTATTCCACGAGGTGCTCGACCGCGGCGGCGTCGTCAGCGGAAGCTCAGCAGGAGCATCTATCCAGGGCAGTTTTCTTGCCCGCGGTGACACGGCCAACAATCAGATCCTAGTGGGCGATCACCAAGTAGGCTTTGGATTCGTGAAAGATGTTGCCATCGACCAACACGTACTCGTACGCAACCGTCAGTTCGATATGTTCGACATCCTTAAGGTTCGACCGGAACTTTTGGGCATTGCTATCGATGAGAATACTGCACTTATTGTGTCTAAGAATGATGCTGAGGTGTACCGAGGTACCTACGTGATTATCTACGATGGGAGCTTCTGGTCGAGAGAGGGAAGTGATTTAAAGCATCTTCCAAATAGTTCATCAATATTTTATTTCCTCAAGGATGGAGATAAATATGATCTTGGAAAGCGGCAAGTGGTTGTTTAGATATAATCATTAATAAGCTGAGGGTTAAAATAGGGGGGGGGGGGGGGCCTTTACCTTTCCCTTCAATCAATAAATTACCTAGGAGGTACCTAACTTTAGGTATATTATTAGGAATAGCTTTAAGGAACTACACCTGTTTTTAGTTTAGTAGAATTCGTAATTGGTAATATTTTCCTGACATATGTGTATCTACTACCCAGTACCTTCCCTGACTGCACGATCTGGGGCTCTTACTTTTGGTGACAAAGATACGTTTCAGGCAAGGTCCCATTATTTATGTGATTCGTAAACGTTAGGTAGGTACGTTAGGTACGTGAATGCATGGTACACAAGGTACAAACTTACAGATACTTTAGAAAAGATACGATAAGCATCCTCTCTTAATCAGATTCATTCAAAGCACCCATTGTACCTTCCTTACTCCTTCGGAATTACCTACGTTAGGCACATATTGTGACTACCGCTTAGGGACGTACCTTAGGGTATCTCTTACTCACGGACCTCGCGTGCTTCGGTTATATTTTATACTTAGGTACCTGCTTCTACCCATAGTAAATCTACTTTTGTAACTTCTTGATTCTTTACATCGGATATTTTCAAATTCCTTTCAATATCCAATTGTTATCCTCAAAGATTCATCTAATCCTTCCAGCAACAATAACAAAATCACTCTCTCGAAGAATAAAGGTATTTTCTACAAAGCTCTTATACATAAAGAGACAATAGCCTTGTTTTGGTAGGTATACTCGCACCCCTTTTTATTAAATACTGAGCATGCCAATCCGATATAGAGACGGGACATTATTTTCTAACTTTACTTACAGACAAATCACGACTAGAAGGAATCATGGATAAACTTGAAGTTACACATGAAGCAACTACGATTGCTGAGCAATCATCCCAAAATGGGCTGGACATTGGCAGTGAAGCCATTGTAGAGAATGACATAACATCACTAGCACCACCAGCACCACCAGCATCCCCCCGTTTCGACCTCTTCCCTTCATTTCCAGCTGAGATTCGAGACATGATCTGGAGTTTCTCACTACCCCCCGACACCCAAGAGGTATGCTTCTTAGAGAAAGACAACAATGGTGTGGTCGATACATCTCCCGTAATCTGGACCAGATTCCCGAAAATTATGCACGTCTGCCAAGAAGCACGGAACATAGCTAAATTGTACCTCAAATTTCGCTATTGGGAAGACGGACAATGTTCGTTACCATATCGAGATTTTCGCCCTGACTTGGATGTGTACGTTCTTACGCCAGACGCCCCGTTGTCCGCCGAAATAGCAGCGGAACTGCAGTATGCGGCCCTCGATGCTAAGCCAAACAGCTATCGACAAGTCATGTTCGTAAACGCCCTTCCATACCTCAAGAATCTAAAGACGTTGTATCTCATGCACACTCTACCGCTAAGAATGGAAAGCTATCACGAAATACGAAAGCTAAGGCCACTAGTGAAGGCGACCCCATACAAACTTCCTGAGCAAATGGACCGTTCGGTTATCCGTTGGCGCGATAGTCTGAATACCCTTGCAAAGAATCTTCTATCCACGTGGGACGACGACGTCAAGGCAGCAATCTGGGATGATGAAAAGCAGGCGCTCAAACTACGTATTGAGGTTGATATCTTCGCTCATTATAAACAAGAACCTAAAACCTAATCATCACTACCCATCACTAGGGTCGACTTCACTCATACTGAATATACCTATACCCGAGGGGTTTTCCCGATCAAGGCCTGGTGGACAGAGGAATGCTGTAGACAGAAGAGGACGGAACGTTATAGGCAGAGATATATGGGCGGATGAAAAGGATTTCTTATGTCAGGGGATACCCTAATTGAGAACTTTCAAGTGTTTTATGCTCCGTAGATGAGTTCTTTCAATATACCCAAGTACATAAACCCCTAGGCGTGAATAATATCATTATGGCATAAGTGCTTCGACTTCTCCAACACTAAATTTAATTTGAGACGGGTGAATCTGGTAGAGAAATGTTTGGTGTAGAAGAGTCAGTTTTAGAGAGTATAGTAGTATATGGATGACAAGTATATTTGCTAGGCAGGTATCTAGATAATCACTAATCACAAAATTAAATTACTACCTAATTGCATATTAAAGCTATCCAAGTATATGTGTGAACATGTTTACCAACATGATGCAGTCACTAGACGTGTCTTTAAAACAACGAGTCGCTCTCCTAGACCCATCATATCCTATCCACCTTTCCTCCTTATGGAATGAGAAAACCACCACCTTCTTACACTCCGCGCGTGTGTGCTCTTGGCACATCGGTCAAAGGAATCCACTCAAAGTCATCCTCTAGTACTGGCAACCTCCTATGGTGGGGTCTTGTGGATTGAACAGGCGGCAGTAGCTTTGAGCGATGCAACGCGATAGGCAGTACGCTCGCAGCCACAATGCCTAAATTCGCCTCGACCCTGTTTGGGGAAACCTCTACGTTAGCATGCGGACGCGACCACGGTGATATAGCTGACTTACATAGAGACGATTGTGATGGCAATCAAGGGCACATATTGCTTATCGTAACGGAACCATTGGGACATCCATGCTCGTGCCCACATGAATGCACCGGTGCTGGGATATCGTTAGCAACCCGAATGTTATACTCGGATGGGGGGGGGAACACATACGTAGCAGAAGCTCCTGCGAGCACGTAAAACGGTTTTCGCATGGTGGCCCTGGTGTTAGGATTCAGAGCCATCTGCAGCGGGAAGCCCGTGAGGATTATCGGGGTGAACACCTCATAGACTAGCAAGACCGAAGTCAGCGACGGGGGATATCTTCGACACATTCTAGAGATAGATAGATAGATAGACTTACAAGACCGAGCCCAGTCGAAGAGCGCGCGGACGGTATTATTCGAGCACTGAGCGTAAGAGGCGAACATGGGATACCACGCGGACTCGCCGCACGTCGCAGGCACGACTATGATCCATAGAGGGTATACGAGGAACAGCATGGCGCCCTGGATGACGACGACGGCGTTCACGTGCCGGACGTCTTGGACGAGGGGCCACGCCGATAAACACCCGATAGCTTGCCCAGGATGGCGGAGGCGGCGAAGAGAGACTGCGTGAACTGGTCGAGTTCGGAGGGGAAGGTTGGTGGGTGTGACGGTTTGCTCTGCTATCGAGAAGATGATGCCGATGAGACTGAGGATCTGAGTTTTATATATAAGCAATTATCATCATCAGCGTCGTGTTTTCTTTTCTCTTTTTTTTCTTTTTTTTCTTTTAGAGGGGGGGCTTGGGAGGGGGGGATGGGCGAAAGTTAGCTTACCCAGGCCATTCCAACGCAGAGGTTATCCAAGTAAGAGAGCGGACGCTGGTGGGAAGACTGCAGACAGTACCGGAGGAGAGTTACCAAGAAAGCGACGAGAAGCGTGAGCGTCCCGAAGGTAGTGAGCAGGATCGCCCCGGTGTCGAAATGTCTGCTTATATCAGACATGTTTGCCGATTTGTAAAGTCAAATAGGTAGGTAGTTAACGAGTAGTTAGTTAAAATGAATAATAAAAGGTCTAATACCGAGTTATTCGTTAGATTCTTCGTTGGTTCATTTGGTGCTACTTCAGGGGAGGGGAAGAGCCTGGTATTTATATTTCTTTCTGCGGTAGGAGAAAGGCTGTCACGTTAAGTTCCAATAGCCATGTAAGTTTCTATTAAGCTGGTGATAGCGAGGAAGCGTAGTCTAAGGTTTTAGACTATACGGGGACCCAACCGTTCGAGTATAAGCTGTTAGGTATAGGCTTGATTTGAGCATGGACGTAAAGATGATTAACGTCTATGTACCTCAACATAACCTAAAGACTACCTATGTTCTGAGCAAAATCCCAACTCCTAAGATTTGTTACTGAGAGGAAATTTAGCAGACGAGAATGATATTTAGAGTGAACATACTTTAACACGAGCCAGCAAACACCTTTAAAAATTAGATTACCTAGTATGCTCAAGCATAAGTCCGAATAATATACAATATCCCATAGACCACCTACATCCGAGCCATATACTAGAAAAGATCAAAGCAAAAGAGGAAGGAAAACAGATCGCCAATCATACCCCCATCTCTCCTTAAGAAGCATAGTACAATACAAACACGGCGTTAACTAATAAGCAAAGACAAGAGAGACCTTAATATCAAGTAAAAAAGATGATAATATGGATTATGAGTAGATAGTAATAGTTCTGATGAATATAGTTTATTTCTAAGAAGGGTCAACACTGTGACCGAGCGGAGCGAAAACCCAAACGCTTCAATATTCGACATCCGACCGCAATTTATCTTTAGTTCTTTCCTATTAACCAAGACACCACTAGAGGGGTTAAGGCTCCTCAACACAAGATAAACTCAATATACCAATAAATAATCATCATCCGAATATACCACATATACCTTGCCTTAGAGATAGTTATTACATCTCGTAAATTCACACTATACCATATCATACCGTAGCTTAGGTAGGTAGATTATTACCTAAACCTTCCAGCAAGCCTTAAATCCATAAGCCCTAAAAGAGAAAACATATTTTACCCTTGGTTTTAGTCGGTGTGTAATTCCCACCAACTTACCCCTATTCCCTATAACTCAAAATCTCGCTTCGACCTTCTTCTCCGTATCCTGCAACGCCCATGCGCTCGACGCCTTCTTACTAAGCACGCTCTTGCACTGCGCAGCCGTAAACCCTTTCGCCTCAACAGCAGGATTATACCCAAGGCCATTCGCCTTAGCTATATCTGCCGAGCTTCGCTTCTGCGCCTCGCTGTGGTCCGGACGACAGTACACCGTGACGACGGCAGCGCCGCCTAGGCCTAGATTATGCTGGAGTGCATACTTCGTATGCGGAACAGCGCGGTTATTTGCCCAGCCGCGAAGATGCCAGACTAGCTCGGCGCACTGGGCTAGCCCCGTAGCGCCGAGGGGGTGGCCTTTGGAGATCAGCCCGCCGGATGGGTTGACGACGTACTTGCCGCCGTATGTAATGTCACCACGGCGTACCATCTCGTGCGCCTTGCCGGGTTCGCATAAGCCTAGCGCGTCTAACGTTACCATCTCGTTGGCAGAGAAGCAGTCATGCAGCTCGACGACCTGGACGTCGGCCGGCGAGACCTTGGCTTCAGCTAGCGCTACCTCGGCCGCGTGCTTGCTCATCTCGAAGCCGATTAGGTCGATCGCACTGCGCGAGAACAGATTCGGCGAGTCTGTTGCCATGCACTGGCCCGCGATTAGTATGGCCTGGTCCTTTAAGTGGGGCCTGGCATCGAGGAAGTCCTGCGAGACAAGGACTGCGGCGGCGCCACCGTCCGACGTGGGACAACACTGCAATTTGGTGAGAGGCTCATGGATCATGGGTGATTTGAGCATTTGCTCTAAGGTGTAGACATCCTGGAATTGGGAGTATGGGTTATTGACAGAGTGCTGATGGTTGACCCTGCCGATCTCTGCGAAATCCTCAAGTTTGGCGCCGAACCTAGGATGAGTAGTTAGTATAGTTGTCCACGACAAATGTAACTTCCCATGGTGTAGAGGTTGAAGGGCTGTGCCTACTTTTCTATGTCTGTATATAAGTGTTAGCAATAATTCGCACCTGAATTTGGTAGCTTAACTTAGGTAGACATAATGTGAGAGTTATTATGCTTAGTTGAGCTCAGATTCCTGTGTCCTAGATAGATGAAAAAAGGGGCAAAAATAGCTTAAAATCACGTACATTCCCGACCAGCATTACCAAACATCTGCGCGGCGCCGGGGGCGTTCGTGTAGCCGCGGGTCTCCGCCATCATCTTTCCCGAGGTACCAGTGGGATTTTCCCTATCATTGAAGAAACTCTGGAGACTGCCGCGCATCATCTTCTCAAAGCCGACTACGAGTATGCAGTCGGCACCGCCGTAAGCAATGGTGTTCCGAGCCATCGAAAGGCCGGTAGAACCAGTAGAACAATTGTTATTGACATTGAGGATGGGGATTTGGGTCATGCCGAACTGATAGAAGACGCGCTGGCCGCAAGTAGAGTCCCCGTAGCAGTAGCAAGCGATACCTTGCTCGACGTCGTCATAGTTGATATGAGCGTCGAGCATAGCTTTAACACCGGCTTCGAAGCCGAGCTCCGTGTAATCGACTTTACCGCGGGGCTTGATGAACTTGGTCATGCCCACGCCAAGCACATACACGGGCTGCTTCTGTTTGGCGGGCATCTTGAAATTGAAGTTTACCTTTAGAAGATTAAGTGTGTAAGTAGAATATGTACCTAACCCAGGATGTTGCGATTTGATATTTAGTAACCGGTCTCGTTGAATACGTTAGATAGCGTAACGCAGAAGGGTATATCCCGTAGGGAGGTAATACGTTAAGTGGGACGTTTCGGAAGATAAAGTTGAAATTAAAAATATACCGTCATTAAATAAAACTCGATAACTTTCTTATATACCTAACAACCAGTAACCTGGAAGCTGCACTCCTTAACGAGACATCCCCAGATGTGGGGGAGTAAGGTAAAAGACCCCGGTTACGCGGGGCCTAGGTAAACGGCTACTACCTCATGTACCTAGCCGAGGCACTACCCGAACTAGTATAGTCTATGTAGTACATAGTTCTTGAACCTTGTTATCGATTGTTTGAAGTCGGTACAATTTTTCTATTAACTACCTAACATGTATTTATTTTTTCATGTGTTAGATGACAATATTCTTTTTGTTGTTCCATTAGCCGTACATTCAATTCGCTTCTTGTATTTTTGTTTCGTTAACTCTCGCCCTTGCTGAAAGCAGTATCTGCTACGGTTATCAACTTTATCATCACGGTCATTCGCTTTCAAAAACGCTAGAGAGTAGTCATTATGATTTCAATTAGATGTGTGCCGGCTTCTCTCCGCCGGGCTTATATATATTTTCGATATAACGTGAAGTCGGACGTTAGCCATGGTTAGAAAACGCGCCAAGATGTTGACTTCGTCTTTTGCGCTAGTTGGTATTCTTGCCGTCGACAAGGGTATTAGTTCATGTTGCCAGTCGGACAGTGTACTAGCTACGCTTCAGCTCCCTACCATATATACGGGAGTTTTCGTATCAAAATAATTTCAAGCACTGGGCTTTGCGGTTCGAAGCCTAGCCATAAGAGCTCCGATGAGGGCTTCAACAAATTTGCATTACCTAGCACCTCTAACGCATTCATCGTAATAGCTTAATAGCAGACAGCTCCGGAGAAAATCGATTTAATTTAGCCATATAGTCGTAAAGCGAGCTTTTCAAGGAGGCCCGGGTTGAAGTACGGGAGTCCAGAACTCCATATCCCACATCGCAGCAAAGTCGTCCGGCAACTAAAACAATTAGACTCATGTATTCGACAGGGAGTTATGATAACTTACAGAATTAAGGGCATCCGGCGCCGTCATAAAAGGCTGCATGTGGCTCATGAAGCCCGAATCCGCTTGCATTCCATTCATTTGCATTGGTACCGTCGGCGGCATAATCTATTCAGAAAAGGTCAATAGGAGAGTGAGAATAGGTTGCTAAATATATCTTACCGGCATCGAAGCAATATTTTCCTGGTTTGCGTGTATCGCTTGTAGGCCAGCATCAAGGATTGCCTGCAAGCCGTTTGTGATAGCGTCTCGCTTCTGTTCTGGAGTTCCGCCCTGACAGGTGTTGAACACGACGGTAAGCGATACTATATCCCTCAAGTCCGTCCCGATCTCTCGTATCCTTTTAATTTGCGTATCTAACACGGTTTGTACGGCGTTCTTGAGCCGCGGAAGAGATAGCAAGAGCGAACTCTCGGAGGCAACGGCATACGCTTCCTCGATAGACTCTACCTTGGTATTTGAATCTAGATCTGACGGCGCCGGCGAAGCGGAGCTGCTGGTAGCTTGTTTGATGTAATAGCATATGCTAAAAGCAGCCTGAAGAATTTCTTGTTTAAGCACTAGTTGGTGCAGGTGCCAAATACGATGATAATCAGGGGAAGCGGGATCCAATTCGTCCAAGTACGAAAGCAATACCATTGACGATCTTAGATATCCTGTCACGATCTGCTGGGGGACATCCGTGCTTCCCAATGCGAAGGGCCGGTACAACGCTAATAGCGGTCGACGACAGTGCATATCTAAGACGACTCGTGTCATCCATCGTCGCCGAACCTCTGACATATCGTTCGAGTGTGTTGTTGGGACCATATATCTTATGTCCTCAAAGACTCGTTCAAGTTCATTACCGAGGTCCAGGACCTGCTGATAGTCCTGAAGACTATCGGTACGGTTGATTAAATCTACAACCCTAAACCGCATAGACAGGGTGTTAGCAGCGAACACCTGGACACGGGAATCGGTATCTTGGTCGATCGGCTTCGGGGGAGGGAGCTGTTCTATATCGGGATGGATATCTTCGTCATTGAGGTTTCTAGGCGGTTGGCAGGTAAAATCGTTTTCTCGTATGCAGCAAGGAAGATTACACTGCATAGACATATGCACGTCAAGCTCAAGTATCGTGTACCACAACTTTCTCCTCTGCTCAGCCCAGAAAGGCGGTTATTCTGCGAGAATTCTGACGGATCTCGATGAAAGCCCATGGTCATCGCCATCCGCACGATGAGACCAAGATGCGTCCAGGATTCCTGGTTTTTGGGATTGATCATTCTCTGAGCCATGAGTTGGAGTATCTCGGCTTGGAGTGTAGTGAATTCAACTAATTGTTTCCCCCGAAGACCGTCAAGCCAGGCTCTTACAAGACAACTAGCCGTCGGGATGTGAATTCCCTCCCGATCATGGTATTGCCCTTTGCCAACCCCAATATACCGGTACCCCACGCATAAGATCGAGAGCAGCTGTGGTAGAAAAGCATCATGTTGAGGTTTACCCTCCCAGTATTCGTCATACTGTTTCATAAAAGAGGGAATATGTAGAACACGATAGATGGTTTCGGATCCTTTTAAGTAGATACCGAGGAGAGTGTCGCAGACTGTTCTACTTGGTAAAACATCGGCCATTCGCTTCTGGATCGGCGTCATCGAGTCCACAAACACAGTAATAGGAGCAGTAACTTTTCGATGTTCATCCTGAAGAGCCTTGTGTATCTTCTGGACGTTTAGGAATAATTCCTTGATGTCGCTGGATTTATTCCTACTAAACATGAAATCCTTTGCTTCGTCAAACTAACGACGTAATTAGTTATACTGGTTGGCGCGATAATGGAGAATTTCGTCGCACAAGGAGCAACTCACCAGGTTGACAAGAACCCGTGTGCTGCTTTGGCCAAAGAACCGCGTTCGTAGACCTCCTTTCACCGTCAAGCCGCGAATCGTAAGAGACGACGCCGCGGGGCGTTGCGCCGGGATGCTACTGGACTCGGCAAGAGAGGAAGTTCTCGAAAGTAATCTCCCTTCTAGACGCTCAAGCCTTACTGCATGATCTTCGAGAACGGCTTCGTAGCTAGTATCGCGCTGGCCGGATTCCTGACTTGCTGCGGGACGGGTCCGCTTGGTATTCCTCTCGGGTGCCTCGCCATCCGAACCATCGCTTAAGCTTACTACTTCACCTTCGGCCGCATACCGACATATGCGCTGCGTCTTCTGGCACTGGGAACACGGCGAGGCTCGGTCACATCTCAACTTCCTTTTCCGACACTCCAAACAGCTCTTGACGGGACGTGGTCGTTTTACACTCCGGGATGGCGCCACGAAGCTATAAGCGGGACTCCTAGTGCCGCTCTGGACCGATGCCGGCGATTTCCCAGTATCCATCTCAATATCCATCGAGACTTGTATGTCCAGCCGATACTCAGCGGGATGCGCAAACTTAACAACAACAGGCAAGTCGATTCATGGAGGTGAATAAGATCGAACCAGACCATGACGAAGCCGGGGCGGTATCTGACGGAACATCTGACCGGACTTGACTGCCTGGAGAGCTCTCTGACCACTCTGACCACTCTGACCACCACACAAACTACGTAGACAAGTAGATCAAAGACCAATAGCAAATACGAGAAAAAGGAATAATAACATAAGATATCAATTAGGAGGATCCAAGCTAGCTAGCTCATCATCAAACTACCTAGGTAATGTCGGTGTTGGAACTTGGAAAGGCATTCCGCTATGGAGTCGTTCCGTCAGGGATTTTTTCAGCAGTTCCCACTGCTGTCGACGGCAGTATATTAATTCTACATTCCTACCTGGGACAAGTCTAGAACTTCAACCGGGAATATAAGCGCGCCACGTGATTCGATCCCAGTCTACTACTCCATCCAGTCCATCCCGGGGCTTGCCAAGAATTCGTCAAGACCAAAAAGAGCCATACAGAATCCATATAACATCCTAGTAAAAGTCTCCAGTCAAGTCAGCCCAGTCCCTCCTAGTCCCTCTTCCCGGCAGTCTTCGCTAGTCTCGGCCGATTCGAGAGTTAGCTTTAAAATACAAACCAACATCGTGGAGGCGCCAAGGCTAATCGTCATTTCCGAAACGATGGATCAACAAATGTTTTGGCCTTCAAGACGGGGCCCTACGCTGTGTTTCAGCCCATTTCCGGCAACGACAAATTTAACGACGTTACAATCTGTTCTTTGGCCGGCGTCCGAGCCGTAAGCAATGCACAGATATCTCGTTAAGCCGCAAGAGGCAATCTAAGCCGGTCATCCGTGCGACGCTCAATCTCCCCCGGTCTGCCGGGTTCACCGCGTGGCCGCTAGGATGAGGCGGACAAGGCCAGCAGAAGAGATGAATGGCAAAGGAGATTTATATTAGCGGTACATATAGGGGGGAAGAAAACGCTACCTCGAATATTGTAATTGGACATTGTAATTGGATATTACTACGCTAATCCATGCACGCGGCAATACCGGATCTGGAGTAATAGACGTAAGGCGGAATGCTTAGATGCCATAACGGAGACCTTTTCCATAAGTTTCTTCATCACGAGAAAGCTTAGCCAAGTAAGGGCTAACTTAATACTGACGTCTAACCGGCATACGAATTTCTTAATATCCTTTTATCATACCGTAGCACTAGCTGCAGATATATCTCCCTACTTTTTGGTCAAACACGTCTTGGTATTGGATCGCGAATAGCCTACATAATACTAACGTTAACCCCCATGAGGAGAAAACGGCTGCCTATCCACTCGCTGTCTGATCGCAGCAATATCAGATAAAGGCTACATACTCGTTTCGCTCAACTTAGCTAAAGTTTACAACATTTGCGTAGCTTGCGGAACTACTGGCGACGCAGCCCTTGCCGAAGACACTAGTGTAGTCGGTATAGCAAGCGGTGGCGGTGTCGGTATAACCGGTGCTCTAACGTGCGCAGGCGCAGTAAACGCGTAAACGCCAGTGGCTGTGGCCGTGATGGGACCGGGCTTCGTCTGGCTCACAGGGAGCGCGCCACTGTAAAGGGCCGGCTACAAAGATGTTAGCCTCGATATGAAACCATAAGTGCCTAATAATAGGAACATCGGATCTGACTTACGCCTGGGATCACATAAGCCGTCGGGTGCGAAAATAGGTCGAACTTGATGCCTGGGTCGTTGGCCCCGTAGAATTCGGTGGCGGGGATACCAGAGGGATTTGCAGTGCCCTTGCTATCGATGGCGAGATTGTAGCAGAACGGGTAGCTCTGGGCGCCGTTCGCGTTGCCCGCGGCGTGTAGTGCGATTATTTCGTGCCTTAAGACGTAGTTTCCAGGCGCGATGTCTTCCGGGATTCGTACGAACCAGCTATTATTGTTGTTGGCTAAGACGTTAGCCGCCCACAGGTCGCTAGCCTTGTCTACCCATCCGGCCTCGCCAATCTTGAAGAACTTGAGCTTTGTCTTATCGACAGACTCCTTTTTGAATGGTTAGTCTAGTATCAAAATTAAAGGGTTTCTCGCCGTAGGACAGAACTAGCTAGAGCAATATAAGGCCAGTTCATTCATGTGCGAATAGGAGACGTACACAGGGCCCGTTGCAGTTTGCGAGGTAGTCGAGGACCGGTCCCTTGTGCGACGCCGGCCACGGCGTCCACTGTACCTCGATTACGTCGCCTCCTTTCACGGGAGCCGCCGCACCTGCCGGCTTGGCGCCGAGGTGGCATACCATATCCGGGGTGTTGAACTGGTTGGGTGCGATGAAGGTATTTCTACATGGCTCAAATATTAGATAATGCCTCTAATGTATAGATAATTATGATCGGTATAATAGTGATTTAGACACATACTGTAAGTCATCCGGGACGGACCATCCTACCACCGTAGGAGGTGGGCTCTTCCACTGATAGCTTGGATTGTAGCCATCGTAGCTATACTCAAGGATCAGTCACACGAGTCAACCACGGGAGTATGGACTTATTTTCTTCGCTTACAAGGTGCTATCTATGACAATCGCACTAGCGATACCGTGAGCATGTACGCCAACAGCTGAAAGAAGAGCGGGAATAACGATAGAGGGTATAATATTGGAGAACGTCATCGTTATAGAGGATCGTCGCTGCGCGCTGGATGATCTACACTACGCAGCAGGAGGATGATCATACATGTACGGCTTATCCCGGGGGACTATAAGTATACCAACTTAAAAGGCAGCCAGACACCACGACCTAACCCCAGCGAAGCTTCTCGAGGTATCCCCATGATGGAGTGCTCTTCATAACGAAGAGTCCAATCATGTAAGCGCGTTCATATCCGTACCTCCGTCAGTCTATTTTCGACTTTAGAATCCGCGTCACGATGCAATATCCAAAAGTCTAAAACCAATCAGAGCCCAACATTTATATCGAAATCCCATCCTCTCGCAGCGAGAAGCTTCGTTCCCCACACAACAGATTCCAAAATTCCGGGGCTTGTCTGCCCGAATCAATAACGGGTCAGAACCCCATGGGGTTCAAAAAAATGCGGGAAAGCTGCCTAGGTAGGTTCTGGAAAATTGGTCATTGGATGATGATGATGCTGTCTTGTTGGTCCAAGCATTCCGTCTAGCCGGCGGCTATATTCGATCGACAGGGAGGCTAGCCACATGATAATTCTCAGACCAGCGGACCTATCTTTCATGATTTCTAACTACCTACCTAACCTAACCTATGTTTTTCTCTAGCTAGAGACGCTAAAAGCTAACAGCCATGAGGATTTGACGATGCAACCTAATTTGCGTATGCATTCTAAGACCTTCATAGACATGCCTCGGCTCATGTGTTAGTAATATCCACAGAAGCAGATTAGTTGGTAGGTAAATGCATGATAAGAGACATGAACGATATAGAACGATGAGATAATTCACAAGTACTTTAGATAGTTAAACAACTTCCTAAACGGGCAAGTTCACGGAAAGTTTAACCTATGAGAGAATAGGGCGGCCATGATAGGTCTACTACGATTATCAGCTCTGGTTCTGAAAAGTATTGGTGCGAGATTCGATAGACAGCGCTAATAGATTGGACATGTTGAAAATAACTACTCGTTGCCACCGCAGAAAGGAATACCTACAAAATCATAAGCATGGAAGACGATGGTAGAAGTTGATAAAAATAATGATGAAAAAAAAAAGAAATCCCCGGATATTAACGAACTTGAATAATATATAACTGATATCGTAACCCGTCAAAAAGATGCTCTCGATCGGGGAATCGAACCCCGGCCACCTGCGTACTTGTGCGGTGACAAGCAGGTATCCTTACCACTAGACCAATCGAGACGATATTTGACATTCTAAGGAATGCCGATTTTCTAGTGCGGTAGATGAAAACCGACTGCAAAGTAGCGTTTATATCGTTAGCAAAAACTAGGGCTGGTTGTGTAGCGAAAATGCCGCAACCCGGACGGGATAGGCGCTAGGGAGGTACTGAGGTACGTACATATTGTTATCGACCTAAGGTTATTAAAGCTACATACATAGAAGAGTGAATATGTCCAGTTTCAAATGGTGGGATATTTGATCAATAAGTGTAATAGGATCATTAATGTTATAAAGAAGAAGAAACTCGAATTTATTAGCCTGTAGTTACCTAACTATTAACCAAACTTAGCAATATCAAGAAATTAGCAATGAACATTCAGTTCGTTAGATATCACGGAGTAGTACATAGCAGGCTCATCATTACAGAAGCCCCAGCACCCTTCTTCGTATACACTCAAACAAAATAAACACGAAGCACATAACTAATAATAAATAATAATAACAATAGCAATCATTCATTCATAAAACCGCCTCAAAGCACGTTTCTCTATTGTCAGCACAAGTAGCGCATCGCATATGCAAGATCGATCTACGCCGGGCTTATACATGAGTCGCGAGCCTTGACTTTTTATACTATCATATGTATGTATGTAAACCCCCCACGGCCCGCCCCGGATCTATCGTCCCATCGCCTATCATACCTAATGTACCTAATGACGGAGTGCAGGTACTTCTTCAACAAAGTACAAAAGAAAGCCAGCTGCATAACACGCCTGACACCAGCAAGACCGTATCGAAGGCCTAAGCAGAAAAACATCTATTCGTCGCAAGTAGCGGGAGACTACTCCAAGCTACCCTCATCCCATTGTCGTGCCTAAATGTTGTTGTTGTTGATGTTGTTGTGGTGGTGGTGGTCTGCGATCGCTTACTCGGCCACCTCGATGCTGCGCGACTCGCCGTCGACGAAGCCCGAGTTGACCTTCTTGCCCGTCTTCTTGATGGTCTTGAGCACGGTTTCGTAGTCGAGGCCTGGCTTGGCTACGATGAGGGCTTCCTGCTTCTCGAGGGAGACTTCGTAGCTCTGAACGCCTGTTTTGTTGCGTGTTTGTTAGCCGTCTAATTCTATTTACTTATTTACTCCATTCATGTGTGTTCATATAGGTGTTAACTACTATCTTGCGCGACATAATCACCGCACGTAGGAAGTAGAAGAATAAATCATAGTTTAGGTGTAGGACTCCATTGTGATCGCGAAAGACACAAATGGGAGTAAACTCACCTTCTAGCTTGCCCAGCACGCGGTTAACGGCACCGGAGCAGCCGCAGCTCATGCTGACGTTGAACTTGTAAGTGTGCTCCTGGTCGGCCATTGCGAATAGTAAAGATTAAGTATCGGCTTTTCGAAAAAGAAAAAAGGGATGAGGGGTATCTAAGCGATGTAAATCGGCGGGGTAGTTAGAAAGTTGAAAGTTGAAAGTTGTCTGGTTGCGATTCCGAAAAGCGTAAGGATTGACTTTATCTGTCTACCTTTGGTAAGTATAAGTTGTTGCAATAGCCGGAAGAAGGACGAGCGACGGTTATTATATATGCTTCTCGGGTAGTATGGTGTATGGTGTATGGTGTATGGTGGCACGGCCGTCCGGGAGAGTTGTTTGTAAGTGTATTAATAATGTCCGTTATGCCCAAGGCAAAAAAAAGAGCAAGTACCTAATGTCGTGATTAAAAGAGAAGGCCAAGTTCCAGATTCCTTATTCCAGGTACACCAACCGCACTAATAGCTCACCGCACTAATAGCTCATGGAAGGCACTAATGCCTCAGGTAGGTTACTTCCCTAAACTGGCTGATACCATGTACTATTCGATGTGTGAATATGATTAGACCCGATTCCATCACCCCCGCCTTTTTTCAGGTGGACTCTTACGCATAAAAGACTCAGCAAAAGTATACTACAGTGCGGCGCATTGAATCTTAGACAGGTTCACACAGTACTTACATACTATACATTCTCTTATACAAATATACCATAACTCACAGTACAAGTACTGTATCAGTACATCTGACGCCTATTTCCTTACCTGTCGCGTGCTGCCGCAACAAAGAAGACAACTCGCGTAATATGAAAACCTGAGCAAGTTTCCCCATCCTCCACCCCCTATTATTATCATCTAGAGATGAAACCGGACTTGAGTTTTGATTACGAAGAAATAAAAACTTGCTCATTGCAAAATTAAAAATTAAAATATCTGAATCATAGGCAGACGGATGAAGTGTCACAGCTAGGTACTAAATATAGACATTAAGAAGCCGATTTCCACACACGTATGTATGTACATATTATAGAGTACGTTTGTACTCACACCTAAAGCCAGCAACCTATTATATGCAGTGACTGCCTCATGATCTACGTGTTCCCCGTTCCCGCATGGTTCGTCCTGCAGGAACTACAGTAATGGGTGGCACGCTAGCTCTATTTACACACATAGTCATCGAATACCGGTACTATGTTCCAGAAGCCTCTCAAGGCTATACCTATTCGTACCAATCGAACTAAGCCATACCGATTTACGCTAATCTTGGCATCTCGTCGTCCGTTCCATTACCAGTATCATCCGCTCCATTTCCAGGCCCTCTAGGATTAGTCGAGTTTCCCGGGGGTATCAAAGGAGGCATCTCGTCATCTGTTTCCTCTTCGACTGAGTCCTCATCCTGCCATGTTCCGGGCATAGTGCCAGGTATGTGCCCAAAAGGCTCGTTGGGCATATTGAAATTATCGGCAACACCTTCGTTCGTATCGAACAGGTTCATGACAGCCTGAAAGATTGTTGACCAGCGGCCAAGAGAAGCTTCGTTTTGAGATCCGCCTTCTTCAGATGCATTCTCACTAACTTCGCCATCATCATCACCACCGCCATCATCGTGATTTCCACCTCCGCCGTCAGCCTCCTCCAAGATGGCCCGTTCGAGATCCGCTTGAATATCCTCAGGTGCACCGGCCAGTCTTGCCTGGGCCAATATTCGCATAAGCTGTCGGCGATCCCCTTGCTCGAGGCCGGCCCTCAGTCGATCTTCAAGTTGCGAGGGAGTCCACGGCTGCTTCTGCGAATCATACGAGAAGACGTTTTGCTCGAGAGGGGGTGGGAGTGGGTCAAATTCCCAATTAACTGACGTATTTAGCAAGTCGCGCGGCACCAATCCTATCAAAGAGGGAATCTCTAATAGGAAGACAAATCGTGCAATATTAACTCCAACCGTAGGCGGGGACGGGAACGGGGACGGTTTGTTGACGTCCGCCCTCTTCGCCTCACCCGCTACCTCCTTCAGGAGAGATATCGCTTGAGTATTATCCCATAATGGCTTTGTCTGATGGATGTAGACGTTTGTATGAAGCTCCTCGTCTCGGTTGCGCGGCTGCGTGCCCCATATGGCTTTGGGAACATCTAAGTTGAGCGCTTTAAAGAGATAGCTATACAACCAAGGTAAGCGCTCCATGCCTTCAACCAACAATGCTTTAGCGCCAGCCGTATCCTTCTGCTGAAGTCTAGCCAGTACGAGGGTCTGTCTAATGTAATCTTGGCCATCTTGTGCCGCATGATTTACATCTAAGATCTCCGAATCGCAAAGGTCAATGAACCACTTGGATTCGCGTGCCCGTATGGCAAGTGGGTGGATAAAGTGGATAACCCCGTACGGATCGGTATGATCTATACTAAGTAAAAGCTTCGCCCATTCTAGTGCCGTTCTGTAGGTGCCCTTCATGATTAGATTCTTAAGGTAATGATATCCAGCCAACCAAAACTGGCGGTTCTCCGGGCGGTTGAACGATAATCTCGCTTTCCCCTGCTCTATCTTCTGTCGAAAAGTCGATAGCGAGACGCGGCCGAAAGTGAAAAGAGCTCGTTCGCATAAGTCTGCAGAGAGCGCCGAATTCTGGTCTTGCTTTGCGATTCTGCTAACTTGGATAAGGCTTGAAACATGATACGGGTGGATATGTAGAAAATGTACTATCTGCATAGGATCGTACATCTGTACGAGTTCAAAGAACGCATTTTCCAACCTGTTGTATATGAATCATGCGCAAAGCGGAACTCAATAGTGCCTGGCAGGCAAGCCACTCCTTCCTTTTCCTCCTTGAACTGTTCCATAGTCAGGCCCTCCGTAGAAGCACGTGGCCATGTTTCCTTGCCAGCCAAAAAGGGGTTCCGTCGCAGCGTTACTTCAGGCAAGCCCTTTCCCGGTACCCCCTTAAGGTAGGTTTCTAGGTCAACTTGCTGGGGTAACGGCTGTCTTTGTCTTCTAGTACGCGCCTGTTCTTGCTCCTCGATCTGAGCGGCAGCGATAGCTTCTCGACCAAATAGGTTGCTCATCTCATTGATTACTCTAAGGTGATACGCATTGATGCTTAGGAGTTCGCAAATTCGTTCGTAAGGTTTGACAATTTTCAGTTGAAAATCATCTTCGATTTCTTGTCCAGGGTTGGAAAGTTCGAGCTCCTTTAGTGCCTGATCGATTTCATCTGGTCCGCTTTGCGCAATGGGTTCAGTCTTGGCAGGAGTGCCATCTTGCTTCTTAGCCTTCTTCTTCTTTTTCTTATTCTTCTTCGACGAACTCTTAGGCGCATCGGTACGGTCAGGCTCGACACTTGGTTTTGTTGTAGCCTCTACTAATTCGTCTTCCTTCGCGTCATGGTCGGAATCCTCGTCCTGATCATCTTGATCCCCAAGCGCTGCGAACCCGGAAAATGCGCCTGCTCTCGGTTTCTGGACGGGTCGGTCATCATCACTCGGTTCGTCATCGTCCTCGAGAGAATTCTTCGCTTGGAGCTCTTCTAGCTCTTTCTGTTTCTGAAGTTTTCTTAGCTGTCTGCTCGACATTATGTATTCTGTATTCTCGAGATACTCGAATAGTAAGATTAGAGCTTGGATAAGGAAACAGCGTCGTAGAATAGGTAATGCGCTGGAAATATTTGAGAGGTAATGTTGAATGTTGATTGTTGACCGTTGACTCAAAGAATTACCTTTTGCTATGTAAATTGATGGTGGGGGTGGGGCCAAATAAGGTGGCGATCATAGGTGATGTAAGGTCCACTACGAATTACCTAAGGTTACCTAAGGTTAGGTAGTTAACTTCTTAAGTAAACTTCAAGGCGGGGCTACTACTTCTACATATTCATTCTTGCACGAATTACAGGCTGCCTATAACAAAGAAGGTGCTACTCCTCACCAGGTAGGTATTATTCCCTCAATTGCTCTTTTTCTTTTTGCTCTTCTACTTTGACAGTTGTTGATATACCTTGGTTTTCACATTTTATACTTTCATCATCTATCTTTAAAAAGCGAGCCGCCACCATTACACAACGCAACAATAACTATCAAGCCTCCTTTTATTCTTCTATTCTACCTACTCTAAATTATATACCTGAATCCTTTTAACCCTCTCTCTACTCTATCTATATATATATACAAAATAAATATTGGATCTATTAAATTCATGCCCAATCGTTTTCGCATGACTTCTGTTCAGTATCACACACGCAACGTTGCGCTAGGATAAAATACCGGAAATGCCAGCATCATCCGGTCCCTGGTGAAATTTGTACGACAGATGTTAATACCAAACGTATAGGTTAGGTATTCATCCTGTTTAGCATCAATATTCCGCGGTTTGTAAGAGGTTAACTACCTCCATAACCTTGGGCTTTTCTTGCTTAACTTCGGTGGTGCTCTTAGTCGCGCCCAAAAGCCTATACCAATCGTTAGTTCTTAACTGAATCACACAGAAATAGCAATAAGGGATCATACTCTCTGGATGTGGCCATAAATTCCGAACTGGACGGCCGTCATACCACCCACCATGACCAACCGAGGTCCAATACCGGCGTAGCTTCCCCGTAGGCCAAGCTGACTGACGATGTTGAAGATACGTCGTGCAGTTCCTTCACCTGGTTGCCCCTTTTCTTTGTTGATCTTACTCAACACCGTATCCGCAGGCTGCGAAACTATCGCAGCTGCCATACCCGCAATAAGACCGCAACCGAGGTTTACTCCCGAGAGTGCTGCGTTCGATGCTGTTTCTTTGTTGATCCAGGAATGCGCTACTTCGAGAGCCTTTTCATACACCACAAATGTCGCCATCGTATACGGGACCCTAAGCTAAGGTTAATTATATGACACGGCTACAAATGGTACCAAAACAGGCTTACTGTTTTAACACTATCGGCATGAACCCAGAGTAAAGGCCAGCCATTCCCTCGTGCTTGACCATCCTACCGAATGCGGATAGCATATTAGGTGCAAATGAGGGTTGGGATACTAATCTAATACGAACAGCCTCAAATGGGCAAAGCAGAATGTCGCCGAGGAATTCGGCAGCAGCAGAGGAGCCAAGGTATACGGCATTCCGGTGTGCAGCCGCTTTCTCCGGCCCTAGAAAGTCGTTCGTTTGTCTTTTGAAAAATTCGTAGCCGCCGAATTTGAATGCTCCTTGCAGGAAATATCCTGTTACCGTCGGTCCGAATCCCGTCAAGAGTGCTCCAGCACGGTCATTGACGACGATTTGGCGCATCCCGCCTGCTAGACCTCTATTATATTTAACTGGTTCGAGCTGAACCCGGGTCTTGACCCTGAGTACCTAATGCATCAGCTTTCTCGGCGCAATATATAAACATTCAATTTTTTTTCCTATTGGCAATGGCCAATATGCGAAATCATTTGGCTTACACATCGACTGGAGTCAGTAGGGCATGAGTAAATGAACAGCAGATAGCTCCCGAGAAGGCGTATCTTGCGACCTCTGAAAGTTTCATCCCTGAGCTTATCGACAGGGGAGGAATACTGGCGACGCCGTCTGCGACGTATTTTACAGGATTACTGTTGTCGAAAACACTGAGGGTAACGGGAGAGTCTGGCTTAGGCAAAAACAAACTGTGGAAGAGATGGCATAAGTATCAATCTCGTTTAGGTAAGACAATCATCGTTACTGCATGCTTGCTAAATTGAAGTCACCTTTTGACACTGAAAGCGCTGATTCCCAAGCGTCCCAAGATGGAGTCGGCCACTCCTTTCCTCGAATCCGGATCAACCTCCTTCGCGACCTCCCTAACTGCATCCAGAACCCTGAGATGTTCCTTCTTGAGTTCCTCAAACGAGTTGTCCAGCTGGATATGCCACGGGTACAGGACAAAAACCTGGAAGCCAAGCGCGGACGAAGCGACGGCGAAGTTCGTCAGGGAGATAAGACGTGTGATGATCATTTTGGCGTCGGCGAGGGCGTTAATTCTACTTCGAATATCCTTCCAGTAAGTATTGTCTGCGGGAGACCAGGTTAGAAACCAGGTTAAAAGATGAAAAGAGTGAGAAGAGGCGGCATACAGTGAACTCGGGAGGTAATGAGATCGCGATAAAGAGAGCAGTGCGCCTTTATGTAGTGCGCTTTTGGACCCGTAGGATGTCGAATCTATGAGGACTCCGTCTATTCTAATATTGTCTAGCCGATATTCTTAATTATACGGATAATCCCAGAAAATTTTACAAAGGAAACTGGAGATAAGCAGAAAAATGGGAAAAAAGAATTACGGTTTACCAAAGAGGACAGCGGCACGAGAAAAACTCGTAGAAGTTAAACCGTCGCGAACCCCTGTTCAGGATTTCATCATCCCTCGTGGAGGGTTTTCCCGAAGAATTTTTTTTTCACCTCGGTCAAATTCTGACTACGAAAGGCGAGACCGACTTCGGCAACTAGGACCGAATGTGACAGAATGTTTATTGCGATACTCTACCTGGGAGAGTGTCGTGGCTAGATTGGGAAGCTCTGGCGCCAATGGGCATAAAAGAAAGGAAGAGATTCCATTTTTAGGGGTCTTTAGGCTGACAAAGTGGCCTGACAGATCGGAAAGTCACGCCACTGGGTCCAATTCGCCCCGGTTTAAGAAAGCTTGTTTCGCCTGCATCACGTCTTATTGGCAATTTACTGCAATTTCTTCGAAGCACAAACCACGGGTATCGAGGCTTTGAAGCAGCCCTAGTAGGGAGCATGTGCAAGTGGGCAAGTGGGCAAGTGTGCAAGTGTCCAAGTGGGCCTCCCACGAAGAAGCGTGGGTTGGGTGTGGGAAGAAATGTAAGGGCAGAATACGGAATAGGAAGAATAGAAAGGATCAGCTTCAGGGGTCTTTGTTAAGTCTATTAGGTAAGACTCCGATCACCCGTAATTTGTCAATCCTAAATTGTTTCATTCATAAGTCTAGACAAATAAAGTGGGTTCGGCTCAAGTTAAAGCACCGGGTACCCACAAACTCCCGTTCCGCCCCGACTTATTTTCGGCATGAAGCCGGCTCTAATCTAGACCGAGACGGAAGACCTAGTTAGGAATGTTGCTAGTCAGGCTAAATTGCCAAGAACTTGGGTATAAGTCACCTGGATGAATCATTCAACCGAACAGGCAGACAGGTAGGTCTTACTAGTTGGCCGCACTCGGTCATGGGGACTGGGGAAGTTTTTTTTTTTTTTTTTTTTTTTTTTTTTTTTTCCTTTGCTTATCTTTACTATCATCCACTATTTAAATGGTACCAACTAGCGAGTCACCAGTCCAGTCTCAACCGGAGCCAAACGCGGCGCGAGCGCTATCGTGACTACCGAGATATGAAGATTACGAACTCCTGTCTCCTGCTTAGCCCCGCAACGAAACGTTGTAGATCTTTCGTGGGCGATAAATACAAATAGGTCCGAAGGTGGTGTTGGAGCACATTTTAATTAAAGGCCCCCGGGGTGGATCAAACATGAACGCGACGTGGCCCGAATTGGGAATTGCTATGGCATATTTTTTCGTCTGGATTCGAAAATAATTAGAGACTCTTGAACCTTCTCAGTCCGTATGTCTGTCAATCAGGCTTTCTTCAAACCTAAAGGAGTTGAAATCCATCTCCGCAAAGGAGCAGCGTCACGTCAGCCACGGGTCTATGTTCCAGTTGATATCATGCGCCTCTCGGAGCGGTACGGTTTCAGTTACGTTACGAGTCGCAAAACGACAAATGTTGTCGCAAAATGTATGACACGCTCAGACTTTCTAACATAGGGTACGATGTCGCTACTTGGACATCGTGGCAATTTTAGAGTGGTAACTACATAGGAAACACTGGTTGCTCTTCATTATTTGGTTTAAATTCTACCAAAAGAAGATTACCCGTGTTACTACTCGTCCATCAGGTAGGTCTAGAGTCTTTTCGGTGGAGGCGCTACGTCACAAATAACCCTTCTGTCGGTAGTCTAGCTAAAAAGATGAAGTTAATTTTATGGGATCAATGATTGAAAATATCCATAAATTCATGAACGTGTCTCGAGAATCCCTACTTTATTTTTTTGTCTACCAATAAGAAGAGATTTTTTTTTTGTATTATTTTTGTTGGCACGCGTAAATATTCATGCTTCTCGTAATGTTACTCCAGTAACACCCGCCAGGCGATCCCGAACTACCTCCATCCGATATCGTCGGCCCCAGCGATTTGGATTTGGCCAGACGCGGTCGGAAACTTATGTAGGTATGCAGCGGTATGCATTAGCTAGTTTCGGTCCACTCGCCACGTGCTGTCTGGGGGAGGAAGAATAAATGCTCCCCGATAGGCATCTTTTGCTCTTTTTTTCTTTTTTTTTTTGTTGCTTTCTTTTCGGACGTACATATATGTTGTGGCTCCCATGCGTGCGGGCCGCTATCCATCCCCAACTTACATGGCTTCCTTTAGAGGTGGATACTAACGTGGGCATGGGCCGTAGGCGGACCTTGTAGACTAATGTGTGGGTGAAGCTTCTGGAACGACATGTGACGGCCCCCTTTTTACGGGGTCGAGCTGCACTAACCTAGTAGGTTAGGTTAGTATGTATGT